GTACCGCATGTTTGCCTCGGCCGCAGATAAACTCTTTAAGCCCGCACCACCATCCCCATTTCTTCCACCACCCATAGGTCTGATGGTTCCGAAGTCCCATAAATCGCTTTCCGCATCTGAGTCATCTGTGACTCTACTATCCATAGTGTCTGAGGCATTGGAATTCATATCATCATCATGCCCTTTCTTGTTCCCATTCTCGATAACCCAACGTTCATGACGCTCAATCAGTTCAGTCAAATATGTGGTCTTCTTCGCCCTCTTTACGAATGGGTGCTTCAAGAGCTCCTTTGCTGTTGGACGATCCCTTGGATCCCTTTGTAGACACATTGACACAAACTCCTTGAATCTTTCTGTGAAATTTCCTTCTAATGTTGGGGGAGTGTTTTTGGGAATCAGAAAAAGAACCTTCATTGGGTGAATGTCTGAGTATGGAGGTTCCCCAAGGGCAAGCTCTATGGCGGTGATGCCCAATGACCAAATATCAGCCTTCTGGTCGTAGCCGGACTGCTTGATAACTTCCGGGGCCATCCAAAACGGTGTTCCGACAAAGGTGTTCTTCTTTGTCATTGTAGCTGTAAGCTGCCCAGAAACGCCGAAATCTGCGAGTTTAACCTGGCCATTTGACCCTAAAAGGACATTTGCAGCTATGTTGTGGGGGATTCCCGGTCAGCGTGAAATTGCGACTATACCAAAGAGAGCAAGACTTAGCATACCTTTAATGTCCCTGTGAAGCTTATTATCACTATGCAGATACTCCAGCCCCATCAATAACTCTCGAATTATAATGGTAATGTACTCCTCCGCAATGACGCCAGGCTTCATCAAGTCTCCGCAACTACCACCAGAACAATATTCCATGATGATCCATAGATCCGAGCCCTTCAAATACGAACCGTAGTATTTTGTGACAAATGGCGAATGAAGTTCGGAGAGGATATTGATCTCTTGGATGATGTCGTCGACTTCGTCTTCCGCGTTTTCGACATCGATGACCTTGATGGCTACGGCCTGACCAGTTCGCTTATCGACCCTATCTCAAACCAACCCACATATCCTCAAATGTAAGCTCTCTTGCTCTTAAACACACATACACACAGACGCATGCTTTCCCAACACCTTCACCATGTGGTAGTGACTAAGGGATTGGAGCAGTATTTACCCCTTGTAGACTTTGCCGAAACTGCCTCCCCCTAACCACGGCCATCAGCGAGCAGTTACAAAAGCATTAAGGTGGGCGATGGAACTTACCGATTTGGTTCTGTTTTGTGTAGAGCGATTCCGGATCAACAAGCTCATTACTTGCAACATAGCCCTCGCCCGAGGAACCGCTGTCTCTATTACTTTGTGTATTGTACCGCTGCATGATTATGTTTGTGCTTTCTTGAAATCCGCCAATGAAATGAAAGGGAGAAGAGTTGGCGAAATCTTCGTTCTTTCTGGTGGGAGTTGCGAGGGAGGAGGATATCTGTAGTGATGGGGGACCCCTTGCTATCGGTTATCCGGTACAATGAGAGCAGGGAAAGAAAGAAAGAAACAAAGATAAACACCAGTCTAATTTATTCTGAGGGTTAGTTTTCTTTCTTCTTCCCAAAGCTCGCGTGTGAATCAATGCAGGGGAGTGTGAGCTAGGCACCAAAAGCTGGAGGTTACATGGAAAGAGAGAGGGGTCGTTCTGCGTCTGTGTCCTCGTCAACAAAATAAAGTTCCGCATTCTGAAACGGGAGGTTGCTGGGGGGGTAAGTGCTGTGCTGACTGCGAAAAGCCCGGGTAACAGCACAAATGGCCACTGTAGCGAGCCAAACGGCTGGCTTGAAGACACGAGACATAATCAACGGAAGTGAGACATGGTGGGGGAATCCCTGAAAAAATCCGGGAGCAAGCGGCCAGGTAGGTACGGATTATATAAGTATCATGGTAACTTGATCTAGAAACGCCTATGATAAGATCATTTATCTTAATATATTGATTGAACAGGTTTGTCTGACTTTGAAGTAGTTACTTGCAAGCTTGTGACGTCTGGTAAGATAGCTAATGATTTTTGTTCGGTCTCGCGGAGTCACATGCCTGGACGGGTTTACTGGGGCTGAACATCCCTTTAATTAGTTAGCTGAAAATAGGAAAGAGAACTCTGTACGTTTAATGCTGCTATCCACTTAAATGCGCTATCCTATCGATGAGCTCTGTGATGGCGACCATCATTTAACAAATTTCGGCTGAACCACACGCCTTAACATCAGCTGTTTTGAGCCGTATCATTATGGCAGGCAGCAATGCTTATCAGCATTGGTTGGTCGGCTTAAACCAGGCCCAATATCGAATCTCCGCTTCCTTCTTAAGACTTGGGGTGGTACTCTGTTCCGGGCTGCATTGATGCAAATGCACATAGATCTAAAGTAGGTACTAATTTCTTATATAGGGGCCCAATCGGTCTAGGTCCCGTAGAGTATGAAATTCGAAATTATTACTTGCAGCTCAATGGATGTATCCAATTTCAATAAAAGAACAATTCATCTAGTACTAGTACCCTTTATTATGTAGATACTTTCGAGAACCTGAAATACTCATGTTTATGAGGTACACAGCGCCAAGATCTTAAGAGAGTATTGATAGAGTATTAATTCCACTATCAGGCTCGAAATAGTTGCAGAAATGTACTAGAGTGACGACTAACTGGAGGGCGGTCCAAGGATTACACTCTCTTGAGATCGAATACTCGCTATCATGTAGCTCCCCACGGAGCTAAAGCTAGATACTGCCAAGAGATCCATTGTAGTACCCCTAGCCCTTAGCGTTGTTTCAATATTGAACCGCAAGGGAAAAAAAATCGAGACCCACTTCTTCTCCTCCCAGGTCGCATTTTTCATATCCTTTTTATTTTCACCAACTTTATTCTCAAGTGAGTCGCGATGGGTCTTGCCGGGCCTAGAAAGTACGTTCCCTATGTTTCCTTATCTTATTCCCCGCTATAACACCACTGGGGCGGCGAATAAGCTTGGTGTAAAGACAAGCTCACTTACACTCTTCCAGCCGTACAAAAATCGGAGCCGATCCCCGAAACACCAATTGGTCCAATAATACTGATCGCTTCGGTCATCGGATTCTTACCACGCTCGGTTGGCAGCCCGGAAGTACTCTTGGTGATACCTTGTCGCTGTACCATCAATCCGGTCACATTACTGCTGCGTCCGCGGCTGGTGTAAAGATCGCCCTTAAGGATGACAACCTTGGGATCGGATGCAACAAGAGGCAACGTGAGGATGAGTGTGTAGGTCTCGACGGACTTCAGAGCTTGCTCGGGCGACTTAACGGAAAAGGCAACGATGAGCTAGAGAAAGAGGCCGAGACCCGGGATAAATTAAGGCGGGATGTCATTGTGGGTGGAAGATATGGGATGAAATTCGTTCGGGGCGAGACATACGTCAGCAGCGACATCGATACCTTACTAAAAAAGATTAAGCTCGAAGGAGAGAAGGAGGCAGAAGTGAAAGTGGAGGTAGAAGTTAAAGAAGAAGAAGAGGTGAAGGAGAAGAAGAAGAAGAAGAGCAAGAAAGAAGACAAGGTCAAGAAGGAAACCAAAATCAAGAAGGAAGAGTCTGAGAGCGAGGCTGAGATTGCCGCGATCCCAACTACACCTTCAGATGAAAGCACTTCGGTCTCTATCAAAAAAGAGAAAAAAGAAAAGACGAAGCGCGAGAAGTCATCCTCAAAGTCCGAATCGGCTACACCGGTGCCTGAGGTCGACTCGGACTCGAAGTCAAAGAAGCGGAAACGGTCAGATGAGGACTCCACTGAGAAAAACAAGGACAAGAAGGACAGGGTTTCCAAAAAGTCTAAAAATGGCGAAACACATGAACAGAGGAAAGAGAGAAGAGCTAGAGAGAAGAAAGAGAAGGAAGCTAGAAAAGCCGAAAAGAAAGACAAGAAGAAAAAAAAGTCTAAATCATCCTCTTCGGACTCAGATTCATCAGAGGATGAGTCTACCCCGGCGGCGTCTGGAACTGCAAATCCATCCGGGTATTCAGCCCTGGTAGGGCGGCAAGCAGTAAGACATCGGTTCATTGCGGCGAAGAGAAGTGCAGTAATGGATGCTAAGGCACTGAATGAGGTTTGTGGATTTTGATACCCTGTTCCTTCCGTTATAAATCGTTTGGCTTTATCTCGTGTTGCTGATTTTGTGATCTGGAAATAGATTTTCATGATTAAGGCATGAGTACATGCGTAAAGGCCTAAAATGATAGTTGTCTTTCAATACTTTTTTTTTTTTTTTTTTGCAATCGGCGCTGTGGGTAAAAGTCTTTGGAGTGCATAAAATGGAGAGGAGCCCTGGGATAATTACTGTAGTTGTACAACCGGCGTCATTTTCTTACTACTTGCAAAAAGCTTAGATGCATTCTGTTTTATTTACATGCGTTACATCTAGTACCATCACGTAGGTACATGTTGTGCCTACATGTATTCAATGCTAGAAATGTTATAACAGCGGACAGGGGGGAATAGCTAACACTACACAGCTACAGTATCAGAAAAACCAAACGGTTGTGTAACAATTCCAATCACTAATGGTGTATGGCTCAATTTTCGATAGTGGGTGGGTGTGTAAACTTGAGTGGCAATTGATTTTGGAGGAAGAGCCTCAAGGAAAGACGCTTATTTCGGGCTAGGGGTCGGTTTCTGCCAATGAAAATCTAAGTTGACACACCTACCCTCTACCATAAATCGCACTATATATTAGAGACTAAAATTATTAATCACATGTTGTTTGTTGATGTCCTAATAGCAAAGCAAGTTAGGGAACTTTAATACTTTGAGTGCGTTGACCAAGTGGTTCGAGGTACTTATAAACGACAAAAGCCGTAAAATGACATATGAAAAACAGTCTTCACAAACCCAGAAACAGAATCCCCACTTGTTTTCTTGTTATCTCAGAAAGTACGTACCGCTTCCAGCCTATTCGCCTTCCCTTACAATAGAAAGCTTCTCTAAAGTGTACGTAAGGAATGCTTGGCACGGTGACGACCTGTGTGCAACAGCAAGAACACCAAACTTTCTTCTCTCTCTTCCATCACTTTGCCTTCCAAGCATTTCTCCCTTCATCCCCACGAAACATCTCTCCATCCCCCCTTGGGTCTATCAACTTGATCCACAGTCATAACGTCCACCAGCTCTTCTATCAACCTGCTATCCTGAGTTGGACCTCAACAAAGCAAGGATCCGAGTTAGTAAGTGTTGCCCCTCACCAGCCCCACATCCTATCTTCTCTTTCGCCACATTTGCTTTCCCTTTTTCGAAAATATTTCATCCACTGATATCTCACAGCTTCTACACCCGTCTTTCTTTTGCACCGACCGCTAGCTCAGCTCCATCACGCCCATAATCACAAACTGCCAAAATGGAGATAGACGAAGCTTTAGTAGCCCAGTTTTCAGCAATTACTGATTGTCCCAAACGAAAGGCGGAGACTTATCTCCGCGTCTCAGACATGAATCTTGAGCAAGCTATACAGCTTTTCTTTGAGACCGGAGGTGTCGATATGGATGTTCCTGCTAGCACTTCTACACCTAGTGCACCCCCGCTCCCTGCGCGACCCGTCACCGGAGCTGGCGGTGAACTGATCGAGATTGACGACGATACAGACGAAGATTTGAGGGAAGCTTTGGAAGCAAGTGGTGGGAACGTTTCTGCCTCTACAGGCGGGGCTGCTGCAGCAGAAAGTGCCGCCTACGACGACGAGGCTTTGGCAAGGCAGTTACAGCAGGAGTTTTATGGGGGTGGGTCAGGTGAAAGTAACGGCGTTAGAGCACCGATGGCAAGGACAGTGGAGACTTTGGTTGATGAGGATGATGACTATTACTCTGACCCAAGGCGGCGGACTGGCGCACGGAGAGGAGGTATGCTTTTCTGACAATCCTCTTGCGGCGGTTCCTGTAGGGGGGGTGCGTTGAGATCAGTTCTAATCCATACAACAGGTCCAGGGCGTTCAATCTTCAATCAGCACAGTACTAGCGTTTGGGACGAAAGCGCTGCCGACCGCGCTAGATTAATCGCAGAGTCTACAGGTGGCGCATCAGAAGCATCAGCAAAATCAACCAAATTGGCAGAGATGTACCGGCCCCCGTTCGAAATAATCTCGATGCTGTCCCTAGAGGACGCCAGGTCAGAAGCCAGAGAAGCAGAGAAGTGGATCATAGTAAATATCCAGGATAATTCGCTTTTTGCATGCCAGACCTTAAATCGTGATATTTGGAAACATCCAGAGGTTATGGCCACTGTTAAGGAGAACTTTTTGTTCCTGCAAATGGACCGACATGGTATGGATGGAAGGGACTACATTAGATACTACCTTCAGAAGGCTGCAGACCCATCAGCGCGGTTCGACCCAACAATCGCCGACCTATTCCCACACATTGCTATTATTGATCCCCGGACAGGAGAGCAGGTCAAGGTTTGGAATTCGGCTCCAAAGGAGCCGATGGAGTTTGTGATGCAGCTACATGAGTTTCTTGAACGATACTCTCTAAGGGTGGATGCGAAGAATCCCGTACAGCGCACCAGCAAACCCAAGGCTAATGTCGAACACATGACGGAAGAAGAAATGATGCAGCTCGCCATGGAGAACTCTCTTAGCGCAGGCACCAGCACAGATGCCGACCCGGACACACTCACAAAGCACGATGATGATGACTTGATGGAAATCGGGAGTTCAAATGATAAAGGGAAGGGGGTCGCCGAGGAGCTCTCAGTGTTTGATCAAATTCGTGCAGATCGTCACCATGCGGAGCCGCCCCCAGGACCAGAGACTACAAGGATCCAGTTCAAGATGCACGATGGAACCCGTGTTGTGCGAAGATTCCTCCTCAAAGACCGCGTCGAGAGGCTGTTTGAGTACGTCAAGGCGGATATGCTGCCTGAACAGGAGGCCAAGAAGCCAGTCGAGGAGCGGTCGACTACAGCCAAGGAGTTTGATCTTGTGATATTGGGCAAGAAGTTGATTGACCACTTGGACCAAAGCGTTGACGAAGCTGGTTTGAAGATGGCAACGGTGATGGTTGAAGTAATGGATGACTAGATTCTTGTTAGCGAATGAATAAAAAAAGGAAAGCTTCCAGGGGTTTTTAAGTATTTTTTTCTTCTCTCCGTCTATCCTCTTGCGATGGACCGTTTTATGTTTTGGGGAGGGGGACTGGCTTGGTCGGGTTTGGGGGTTTTCTGGGGGTTGGGGCTGGGGTTGGGGTTGTTTGGTTTTTATCATTTCTTTATCTTATCTTCCATTTGTAGGATTAGCCAAACATTGCCCTTGATCTGTTTCTCGTCCTTGCCATCATCACCACCGCCTACAGTTTTTGTTCCCTCACTGTATCCCCCCCCCCCCCTTCCTTTTATTCCCTCCCCCCTCTTTCGAGAAATGGTCAGTATCTTGTGGTAGATTGGAGGCAACGTATTTTTTTTTCTTTCTCTCTTAACCCCCCCCCCCCCCCATTTTTTTATTACCCCTCCCATTACCTTTTCCCTACCCTGCCCCGCCCCGCCCCTACCCTATTGCGCCCAGAGTTAGTCAAGTTGGTTGGTGTCGATATTTTTTTTCGTATTTACAGATATCATGAATAAAACCTAGTAATGCAGAGAGCAGAGAGCAGAGAGCTAGTAGAGAGCAGTCAGTAAACGGGTATGGTAATCATGGGATCCGGATCCACGCCATCTAGAAACATTTATATTTGCCCACAACTAGACGACTACATGTAGCTCCCAACCCAGATATATATTACATACATTACATATGGTATCCTTTAGGCCGGCCGTCTGTCGGCTAGCGCGGGATGTTGATGGTGCTATGCTACATGTACTCGCGGCCTTCCACTATAGCTAGTCGACGTCCCAAAGATCGGATAGGAACAACATATCTAACTGCGATATCTCAGTGTTTCATTTTTCCCATCGCAGCTTCTACTAATACGGTACATAGGTATGTAGTCGGTCCACACAATCTATATCTAAAGGACAGCTCCAATACTACAATGTCATGTAAGAATGTTGTTGGCCAGCTTGTTGATCCCGAATGCAATCATGAGATATCACTCGACGCCCAGAAAACAACAGCTAGGCTGTACCCTGTGCTGTGCTGTGCTGTCAGCATGCCTACATACATACATACCGGCGGCCTTTAGTTTTTTTCTTAAACGGGATCGTACTGCTAGTAGTAGTAGTAGTAGTAGTAGTAGTAGTAGTAGTAGTAGTAGTAGTAGTAGTAGTAGTAGTGGTAGTAGTAGTAGTAGTACAATCGACTCTCCTTATCCCTTCGTCTGTCAGTTAATTGCTGCCACCCGGAGAAAAAGCAAATCCGTGTGGCTTTCCCAACAGATCTTGTCATCTCCCATTATCAAATACCAGATCTCCCATACAAATTTAGTCCCTCTATTATAGTGTGGCAGCTTTAACAGACGAAGGGATAAGGGTACACGTACATTCGGGACTGGAAATCGGTACCCTTATGGTATGGTATGTACCCTTATAGCATTGCAAGGGTCGGTTTGTGCTCAGAAGGCCCAATAAGCTGGACCGAGAAGTCGTATCCTTATGGGCGAGTATTCTTATAGAAGGTACCCTTATAGGGAGGTATTTTTGCCTTGGTGGGTTGGGTTTGGCGGGTTGGGTGGGTTGGGTGGAGACCATGGCGCGCCACGGTTGAGTTGGAGTTGTCGGGTGTCGATTGAGGTGGTTGTTGACAATGACAATAAGTTTTAATTTACTACGTGTAGGTGGGTGATTTCAAGGTGTGTATTTGGGGCGTGAAGTATGTTCTAACAACGTAATATATATATATGTAGAGTAGAGTGATATTAAGTACATGTACCTACCTGCCTCCATTCCATAAGTACAAGCAAATACTTCCCACAATTATCTCCTTCCTCCAACCCGCCCTCCACTCCACCACACGTTCACCCCATCCCTCCCAAACCCTCGCCAAACCCACAAGGCGCACAGCACCTCCCCATCTCGCCTAGCTCTAGGTAAAGTATTTCATTGGCCCATATGACATCACAGGGTCCATCACTTCCCCCGATCCCCCGCTAAACCCCGTTTGGCAGTTGGTCTGTCTGTGTAGCACCAGCTGTGTGTGTAACTCCGTTTACTCCACATACGGGGTAGATGTTACACAGAGAGCTAACCAGAGCCGCAAGGGCTTCGCCTCGCTGCTCACACACACACACACACACACACTTCACTGGTCGCAAGGCAGACCCCGCGATCTTTAAATATCGTACATACGGGCCTTTAGTCACCCGTTTTTGCCTGCCTGCCCACCGTGGTAATCACAACCCTTTCTTCTCATTCTCGCCTACCATACCGTATTTCAAATCAGCTCGATAAATACCCCCGACCACTCACCCCCCCCCCCCCCCCATCCCGTCCCATTCCCACCCACCAAACAAAACAGAAGACAATCAAATCAAAAGCGGATATACACATACACACACACATACATACACAGAGAAATGTCCTCCCTCCTCACCACAATCCTCAAACACACCACCCCGCCCATGCTGCGCACAACATCCCCCAAGTTCCCCACCACAACCTCCAAATCCGACGAGCCCGTGATCCCCGACCCGGCCGTCTTCACAATCAGCCCTCTCGACACCACCGCGCTCGGCACACACGCGCCGCCGCCGTCCGTCTCGCAGTGCGCCGTGCACCTGGAGCTGCTGCAGGCAATCAGCAAGCTCAGGCACCGGGTCGTCAAGGAGGCGGCGTTCATTGAGATTTTCGGCACGGTCGACGAGGAGCGCGAGACGTGGTGGGGCGCGTTTGTGGAGGTGGCTGTGGGGCGGTTTGGGACGTGGTGGTGGGGCGTGGAGGAGGAGTTGAGGAGAAGAGAGGGGACTAGTTGTGAGGGGAGTCCTGGCAGGGCTGGGAGCATCAGGAGGGGATTGGCGATTCCAAAGGGTAGCAATACTGCGTGGGGCGGCAATGGCGAGTGTAAGAGGACGACGCCAAGTCCTAAGAACACACCCCCGACGGGGGTGGGGGGACTGGCGCTGTTGGAGGGGAAGAAGTCAATCTCGCCGAGTAGGCTGGCGGGCAGAGACAGCCTGCAAAGCCTAAGGAGCGCATCGGGAGGTTCGAAGAGCGAGAGGGTGAAGGAGAAGGCGCAGAGCGTCAAGAGCGGCATAACAGAGGCCGTAGAAAGCGTCCATCTCAGAGAGCTACCAGAAGACCTGCTTCCTCCACTTGGTAAGTTTTTTTTTTTTTTTTTTTTTCATGCTCGCGATCATTGACCCTTCGTGATATCATAAAAACTAACAGCCAATTTTAGATGTCCTGATGGTCTGGCACGCATACATGCTCAACCCCCGCTGCTACAACGAGGACGCCCTCCATTATGGCCTGAACCTAATCCACAGCACCGCCTTTCCCTGGGCGCACATCCACGCCGCAATCAATAGCGAAACCTTCACCTACACGCTGCCAGACTCGGCAGCACGCTTCTTCGAGCGCCTGACTAACCAGTCGCCGCGTCTCATGGACGAGCTCCTGTGGAAGGACGTTGCGCCCCGGAAGAGCATCAAGTGCCCCGCGTGCGGGAAGGTCGGGGCACCGGTACGCATCTGCGACTCTGAGAAGAAGGGCGGCGGGTGGATGGACGTAGACTTCAAGACAGACTGCGCAGAGTGCGGAAACGTCATTGACAAAGAGGGACTGTGCTCCGAGAAGCTCAGGCTCGAGATCGAAGAGCTCCTCAAGGCCGGTCCCGAGGCAAGAATGCGCATGACAAACCTAGACCGCCAAGGGCGCTCCTTCGCCGAAGACCCCACCAGCCCAACATGGGAGTCCATGAACTTTGTCAACGACCTCTTCCGCCGCACCTTTACCGGCGTCACCTTGACACACACCGACACCTTCAGCACCATCTCCGACCACCTCCACGCCAACATCCCCGCCGAAACCCCCGCCGCCCACACTGCAGCACTCACCCTCGTTCTCTCCGCCTTCTCCGCAACACCGCGGAAGTTCTCCCTCAACCTCAACGGCGCGGTAATCCGCCAGTTCAGCTTCGTCGCAAAGATGAACGACAAGCTGTGGATCCGCTCGCCGGGGCTCGTCGGCCGCCTCCCACTCGACTCGCTCTCCAGCATGCGCGCAAAGCTGGGCGCCACGCGCTCATGTGTGCTGATCGACAGCGACGCTGGCTTCTTGAAGCGCGCGGTGGTGCGCTACGAGGGCTTCTTTGCGCTGTTCAAGATGCACCCGGGGCAGATGCTGGTGCCGACGCTGGATGTGGACCTCGTGTGGCACAGCGCCATGTTGACGCCTGTGGGGTACCGGGCGTGGTGTAGAGCGATGGCGGGGAGGTTTATTGACCACGATGATAAGATTGGGACGGGGACGCTGGATACGGCGTTTGAGTTTACCGGGGAGGCGTTTGCGAAGGCGTTTGGCGGGCTGTATGGGAAGTGCTGTTGCTGGTTCTGCGAAGCGGCGGTTAGTGAGGGGTTGGATCCGGAGGAGGAGGAGGGGGGACGGGAGAAGAGGGGCGTGTGGGGGAGGGTGTGGGCGAAGGGGAAGGAGAGGGAGGGGAAGAAGGAGAGGGCTGTGAGGATTAGGGTGGAGTTTTATAAGGAGGTGGAGAGGAGGAGGAGAGCGGGAGAGGCGGGGCTGGCCTGGGGTGGGCTGTGGGAGGCGTTGAGGAGGAGTTAGATGATGGAGTAGTGTGTTCTTTTTCTTCTTTTCTTTTTTTGTCGGCTTTGTTAGGGTTTGCTTTGGTGTTTGGAATGGCTGTTTCTCTACTTATCTTTTTATGCTTGTTTCTAGACTTCTCCTTTTCTCTTTCTTTCCTGTTGTCGAGGGTTGCGGGTTTGCAGATGGAGTTTAACTGCATTTTTTCTCTTTGGGGTTAGATATCCTGTAGGTATTGTTTAATTAGTTGCATACTCGGAAGTAGCTGGTATATTTCCACACTCGCCCTACTATGACAATCATCAACAGGGTTAGGGGTAATTATCACACTTGGCCGGTTTGCGGCAATACACTACGAACTGAGCAATATTGAAACAGGCCTTTGGACTGCCAAACACATGGGGGGTGTGTATCGCAACGGGCATACCAAGCAGGCGGACATTTTAGATGACAGAGTTTTCTACAAAAAAAAAAAAAATGTTGGTTGTAATTACATGACGGGTCTTAACCTCCTCCTCCTCCCACCGAATGCATGCTAAGACGTTTCTTTCTATGCATCCAGGGGCAGACCTCGACGCTTCCATTATCCTCAACACACCAGGCTTGGCGTTCTTAGCCTTTTCCTGTCAGGTAAATCATTACCCCCAGCTAGGCGGGGTGGCTTTTGCGGATAAGCTTATCGATTGGCTGGTTTTGGCCCCCACTCTGTCGGGTCAGCGTTGGCTTCTGCGCTCGTATCCAATTGTTGCGACTTGAGATGAGTCTGCGGGATGTGTTACATGCATGTATGTCTTTGCCATGATGAGTGAGGAGGGGGAATGTCTGTCTACTGCGGGCTGTGGCTTCACTGCTGGGTGTGCTCATACAGCACTGGTCTGGTATCTATTGCTGGGCACGGTAGCTCTACAATACTCAACAACGTATACATATACTCAACCGCTGTCAAACATCGTGGACATCAAAACCCGACTACACACCCACCCACTCACAACTAGCTACAAACCCATAATGGTCAGAAGATCTGTTATGCACCATTTGACTCCCTATCTGGGTTCGTATTTCACCCGGCTTTAGTGTTGCCGTGAGTCTGCGAGGTCTCACTGGCAGTGAGCAGGTGACTGTCTGTGTGGCCAGAAAGCCAGTCATCTGCACAAAGGACAGCGTATTTCCCAGGCTGGCGGTGGCCGCATATATCTGAGTCTGCCATACGTTTCACGGAGCGGTGTGTGTGTGTGTGTGTCAATCTGGTCAGTTGATGTCACGACTTTCCTCATCCTCATCCTCAGGACTTCACTCTCTTCTCTTCTCCCCTCTCAATAAAGACATCCAGAGACCTCTCCGAATCCTTCTCCTCCCATCAAACAATCTGCCTATCTATCAAACACCAAGAATGATGTCCAGCAACTCCCCCACCCCCACCCAGAAGCAAACCCTCCTCATAGTAGGCGCCGGCATCGCTGGCCCCACCCTCTCCCTCACAATCCTGACCCACCCCCTCCTCAGCACCCTCTACACCCCCCTCCTCTTCGACCGCCTCCCCTCCACCCCGACCGCCACCGGCGCCGCCGTCATCCTCTCTCCCAACGCCCTACACCCCCTCTTCCAGCTCGGCCTTCAGCCCTCCATCCTCACACACTCCCAAGAAGCCCTCTCCATCACCATGTGGCGCTCCAAATCGCCCGCAACCGCCCCCGGCCGGCGTCTCAACGGAATCACCAACCCCGCCTTCGCCCCCGACCTCGCCACGGGCCTGCGCGCAATCGAGCGCAGCACGCTGTCCCGCCTGCTGCTCGAGCAGGTCGTCGCCCACGGCGGCGAGGTGATCTGGGACGCCAAGGTGACGGGCTACGCACAGACGCCCGAGGGCGTCGAGGTTCTGCTCGAGGACGGGTCGCGGCGCAGCGGACACATGCTCGTCGGCGCAGACGGCGGGTGGTCGTGTATCCGGAAGCAGCTGATGGGCGGCGACGGGGCGGACTGGAAGCCGGCGTTCGCTGGTGCGTCGGCCGTGTACGGCATTGCGCGGCAGCCCAAGGGTGCAGACGGGGAGGGGGAGGAGGATGTTGCTGGGCGTGGACATGCGGTGCTGCTGGATGTTGGCGGAGTGGCGACGTGGGCGCTGCCGGGCGGGAAGGTGTTCTGGTCCGTCAGTGTTGCGGAGGCCGCGCCGCCGGAGGGGAAGGCGGTGACGGAGGTGGAGGGCGAGTATGGCGTCGTCAACACGGGGGGCTACTCGCTCGAGTCGACGGAGGAGATACTGCAGCGGTACGAGAAGCTATGGTTCCCTACCGTCGGCGAGTGCGGGGACCTCTTCAAGAACAGCGAACGCATCGTGAGAGCGCCGCTGTGGCAGCGCGTCTACGACGAGAAAGACATCGCCAACCTCTCCACCGCCGGAAACGTCGTCCTCATCGGCGACGCCGCACGCATCATGGTTCCGACGAGCGGGCAAGGTAATCCCCCCCCCCCCCCCAAACCCTCCTCCCCCTTACTACCCACAACCCACTAACACCCCCCCCCCCCACAGGCGCCTGCATGTCCATCGAAGACGCCACCGTCCTCGCCAACGCCCTCCTCAACAACACCTCCACCACCGCGCCCGAGCTCAAGCCCACCTACAGCGCGGCCCTCAGCGAATACGTGCACGAGCGGCTTCCGCGGTCAAAGGCCATTGCGCGGCAGGCGTGGTGGATGGGCGTTGCGTTTATGGCGCGGAACTGGTGGTGGCGGTGCGTGCGCGACTGGGTGGTGAGGTGGGTGCCGATGGATCGGGAGGGGGGGAAGGGGGCTTGCGCGAAGAGGTGTGTTGGTGTTGGTGCTGGTGCTGGTGGGAATGGGGGCGAGGAGGTGAAGGAGGAGAAGGTGGCGGGGCCTGGGGCGGGCGGGTGGTTGCATGGTGTGAGGTTGGGGGTGGAGGTGAGGGGGGTGGGGGAGTGTGGGGTTTAGGGTGGTTGTGGTGGTGGGGTTAGGGCTGCTATGATGGCGGGCCTACTCTTCGAGGAGTGAAACGGGATGACTGGTAATGGCTGCGATGAGGTGGTTGTGGTTATTGTGCTTAGAGGGTCTCCGCCTACGTGGTTCTTAATAAATGCATACATGGCTGTTTGTCTATCGGGGGTTGAGTGACAAACCGAGTAGTAGACCAAGTGATTGCACCCCAACCGAACGACGCACCGAGTGTTGAAGCTAGGAAAAACAAATCGGGTGATTGATAGGCTGGTTAGAGATGAGGCCGAATGGCGTGATGATAAAACCGATCGAGTAGGATCAATCTATTGATACTTCATTTATTGCTAATAGATACTCGGGAGGTTGTGGATTGACGGTTCAGTGCTGACAGACCGGGTGGTGGAAACAGCAGGAAAGACTGGTCTACTACTACATGTATTATCCCCACAGCCGCCCGCGAGCCAAACTAGCCAGCTAGCCAAGAAGCTCGCACGGCCACAAGGACTGCAAGCTCTGTAATACCGAATACCTGTCCTTTCCATTTCACTTCGAATTCGCCGGCGTCCAGGACCAGCAAAACGAGTGAGCGATCAAGAGAGAAGAAAAGTTCTATATAACCACCCCTACCCCATCCCCCCTCTGCCTGACCCCGTAGGAGACCGTAATTACCACAGCGACATCTTCGTCTGTCGCCGCTTCTCCTCTTTGCGCTCTTCAATCTGTCGGCGCACCGGTCTGTCAGCACTTTTCTTTCTCTCTCCGTCGCTACCTCCGCGCGCGCTCAATTCCTCCTCCTCCTCCTCCTCCTCCTCCTCCGTTCACTTCCGTTCACTTCCTCCGCTCATCTCCGTAGAATAGTTGCTGTGCTGCGATGGGTGGGGAACGGGGGACGGAGGATTGGCGGATTGGCGGATTGAAGATTGAAGATTGGGGATGCGGCGAGGAATAGGAATAGGAATAGTAGAGGTAGAGGTAGAGCTAGAAGTGAGAACTTACCCATTTCTTCTTACAGTCGCGATACGCCCTACCCACCACCCAACGTCAGCATCAGTATCAGTATCATTAGCTCGCGAGCCCCGGACCAGAGCAGCGCATCGCAGCCGCCTCCCCCCCCCAAAAAAAGAAAGAAAAACCCACTGGAAATAATCCGTACACATATCCTTATCGCCCGGATTCCGGTGCAGGCACTTTAACGAGCGGTTCGCCGCCTCCTGGCAGGGGTCGAAGTACTGGCTTGATGCTTTGCTACACTCCCGCCCCCTGTCAGCCGGCCCTCCTCCTCCTCCAATGTGGCTTTGGGGGGGGGGGTTTACTTGTTGAACTTTGCGGTGACCTTGGGGTCTGTGGGGTTTTCGGTGTATGTTACTGGCATTGGTGGTGGTGGGTTGGTGGTTGGATTGATTGGTGGTGGTGGTGGTGGTGGCGGGATTGAGGGTAAGGTAAGGTAAGGTGGTGGGATGGGATGGGATGGGATGGGATGGTGGGATGGTAGCGTGGTGGAAGGTGGGATGGGTGGAGGACGGCCGGGTAAGTGGGGAACGGGAAGTGGTGGGGGTGCCAAGAGGGTCAATGATTTTGGGGTTGGAATGGGGTGTTTTGGGTTTGGATTTTGGGAATTGGGGGTTTTGGTGGGGGGTCGATATGGTGATTTGGTAAGTTTGATATGTGTGTATGGTGGATAATCAGTGTGTTGTGGTTGCAATTAATGTTGGTCGTGTTGGTTCCGTGCTAATTATGGAATATTGGTAAACCATGGATGCAATGACTTCGAATGTTTTAGGTTGTAAAATAAAGTTTACATGACGAAAGTCAATCAAGATAGAAGTACTAGTGGTTTTCGAACCGAAAAAAAAAAAGAAATCTTTCAAAGGAAAGCTGCGCAAATAATTGGCCGTTCCACTATATATTTCTCTAACCTGATGTTGCCTCCGGATTATCTCAGACTTCCGAGAGGGCTAATTTATGCACATACATTATACCAGATCGAAAATGAATAGATACCCCCGAGAAAATATTCTTATAACGGACACTACCAGTCATATATGTCTTTTTCCCGCAGAAGGGGACTCTTTACCGGCCTCTTTATCGATAATTGAAAGTATCGGCATAGATTCATGAATAACGGGGCTCGCGGTAACATTCGCAGATTGAGTCTAGAGCAACGGAAACTCCAAATCCTTAAACCCGATAGTTGGTCTCTCCATTTTTGTTTGGCCTTTAGATCTTATATGGAGAGCTGCTGGGCCTAGCCCCGTTCTCCCAGTTGAACGGAAAACAACTGACCTAGCCTCTTTTCTTGGTAATGCCGAACTCTCTAAGTATATGGTAAGCTCTACTTGTACAGGCGGGTCATACAGCTGGCCAGAATACCGCGAAATCGGTGCCAGGACAGTACTAGCTCTTCTCTTCATATATCCAGAATTAAGAATCCGCATTGGAATATCTCGAGAGCTAGAAGGCACGCGCGGATGAATCGTCACTATGAGCATGGACTGCCCTTAAGCTCGAGCCAGCTTGTATCGTGTCTACCACCGGCCGCCCCGGGCATAACAACATGTGCACCGCCTTCGGGGAGTATAGAATTTGGTACTTGGCCTTATCTTATCTGTTATCCTTGGCACGACGCCCAAATACCATTTCCAGCCCATAACACACATGGGCGAGTGGCTTAACGGTTAACTCGCCTTCCGGACGGACACCGGGGGGTTGTGCCCTGCCTTCGATCACAGAAGGTCCAGGGTTCAATCCGGGGGTGGGAGTAGTAGATATGGCTGGACCATAAATGCTACTTTTTGTTCTTTTTGACCAACAACCACGAGTTATGGAATATTGTCTCGCTCCCCCACTTTACTTGCTCCCCCGATTCACTCCCTCTTTCGATTCATGGGATATCATCCCCGCCAAGCTCGATAGCCACAACACCTGCTATGCTTGGGGAAATTAAAGTGCCCTTCGTTAATAATTATATGATGCTGGTGGATTTTGTAAAACGGAACCTCCACTTGCTTAAGCCACAATCCTGTCATTCTTCCCGATCCTGGAGCTTCAATTCTGACCAGTACGTTCAATCTCGCCGTATCCGCACCACAAAATACCGGCTAGAGCTATAACAGTGGGACTTTGAAGGTATGTAGAAGGCATTCATTCGTACGGGCTTGACCTTGCCAGGCGCGTGGCTAGCTAGTGTGCGCCTCAAAGAGTACATAGCATATAAACCACCTTTATTATACAACGGTCCATCCAAACCAACCGCGATATATACTCCAAGATCCGCTAGCCCGCAGTGGGGGCCATACCCAAACCTAAATTAACTGTGGGGGCCACCGTTCCAATCACAACCCATCACTCGCCCCTCCTCACCACTAACCGCACCCCGGGTCCAACATTCGAATTCTCTCTCACGCGCACGCGAGCCTCTCCCGAATTCAAACACAACAACCACCGCCCTAGCATCGCAACCGCACCTCCGCGCACTTCGCAGCGCCTACATAAGCTAGAGGGGGAGGATATTAGCTACTAGCAAGCTACGTAACGACACGACACGACACGAGGCGACGACGCGGGGTTAACTACCCCACGGGGAGAGAGGGCGCAACATAGATCTAGGTGTCCCTCGCTAGCTGGTAGCGCGCTGATAAGCTGTCTGTCTGTCTCATGGGGAGGAGGGGGAGGAGGGCAAACACCCGATATCTATCTGGAAACGAAAAATGGGCTAGCTGGCTGGCTACGCCTTCGTTGCGTATGCTGCGCTGCTGCGCTGAAGCCCCGCGGTTGTGGGTGAGCAAAAAGATAGCAGATAGAGATAGAGATACAGATAGGAGAAGGTGTTTATATCCATCAATAGTCAATTAATAAGTGGCATTCTTCTTCCATGAGGCTCATTTTTTTATTTTTATCTTGCATCTAAGATATCGCATCCCCAATACAGACAAGACAGACTTCATGATACAAAAAAAAACCATCATACAAAGCTTGCATTAACCATGAGCACCTAAGACAAAAAAAAAGTATTCATAGCACTGCGTTCAACCCAAGCTGCATGCACACAACACCATCATAAAGATATAGACAAGCACCCATGCAGAGCTAGCTAAACGTAAACCCCAATCCAAGGAAAAAGACAAAAAAGAGACATTAACTATATAGGCAAAAAGAAAAAGGCCCGATTTCCTTTCTTTCTCGGGATCTTCTATGTTTCCTATAGCAAGAAAAAAAGCGCTGTCGGCAAGAAAGGCCCGGTTCTAGGGTCTTCTTTATCACTAAACAACACAAAGTAAAAGATAAAAAAAAAACGCATAAATAAAACGAGACGTCTAACAGAAGAGCTTGTAACTAAATGAAAGAAAAAATTAAGTTAGCAAATATTCAAGCAAGTAAACCTAGAGAGGGAGTTCAAGAACTTACATTTTCTTCCACGCCGGCCACGCAGCTCTCTCCCTGCGCTCTTCCGCCAACAGGGCATCCAGGTCCAGCTCACGACGTCCGGTGGTCAAGTCCATAGTGGCCGACCTGACAAAGGGAGTCTTGTAGATAATCTTGTACGGGATGTAGAACGCCAACACCACGGGAACAGTGAGGTAGATTGAGAAAAACACCTCCACATCAGGATCCTCACCAATTGGCCACACTGCAACCCAGAACTGCGCAATCAAGACCAAGCAGTTGAGGATGAACCCACACCACGATCCAAAGACACCAGGCTGCGACTGGTAGGCAAGCTCGTCGAGAGAGTGGCCCTGCTTAGCCCATCCACGGCGGAAGCGGATGTGCGCGAGACAGACGGAGCCCCAGGTGAAGATGGAGGAGAGACCAGAAATGGCCAACATCCATCCGAAAGCTTCACCCTGCTTGTCAGAAGCGGCAAGGTACCCAAGCAGACCAAGTAGGGCCGAGAGGGCGATTCCGACCATAGGACGACCACGGCGGTCAATATATCCTAGGATTCTGGGGGCCTGGCCTTGGTCGGCGAGGGCAGCAAGAGTACGAGAGGAACCATAGACGGAGGAGTTACCGACTGAGAGGACAGCAATCATGATGACGACGTTCATGATGCTGGGGAGAGCCTCGATACTAGCATTCTCAATGGCGATGACGAAGGGAGAAGCAGAGGCATCGGCACTTGACTTTCCGCTCAAAAGACGTGGCTCGTTGTATGGAACCAAGAGCCCGACGAGAGTGAGGGAAACGATGTAGAAGAGGAAGATACGCCAAAAGACTTGCTTGACGGCTGTGGGGAGAGACTTGCGCGGGTTTGCAGTTTCTGCGGCGGCAAGACCCACAAGTTCGGTACCGGCAAAGGCAAAGGCTGCGGTCACAAACACACTGCAGAGACCCTTGAAACCTGAATGGAAGGCGCCAGGGTCATGCCAATGTCTGCCGCCGATGTAATCCCCATTTGGACCGCCGCCGACATCAAGGATGATACCGAGTATGCTGTGTAATTGTCAGTATAAATTATTCCCAATTCTGCCGCCTCATGTGGGGTGTGTGTGGGGCTGGAATGCAGCTTACATGAAACCAATAACGGCAACAACTTTGATGATCGAAAAGACGAATTCAGCTTCACCGTAACCCTTGACACCAAATAAATTGATTATTACAATCAAGACCCAGAATATAGTGACCCAGACGGCTTTATTGACCGACGAGTGCCAGTAATCAATTGTTATCGATGCGGCGACGATTTCCAGCGGTAAGACTATGAGCCATTGTAACGCGTAACTAAAGACAGCGGTTAGTTTTTCCGTTGTAATCTGGGGAGAGTGCGCGTAATAACGATAATCCATCCCATATCCAGGCCATCCCCCTCCTGGAACCAGAGTAATCGGAAAAAAGAGGCAAAAAACGAAAATAGTAATATAAAAAAAAGACAACCAGAAAAATTTAATACTCACTTCCAACCCATTGCAAAACCCCAAGCCGGATCCAAAAACCTTGTAGAATATGCCGAAAACGAACCCGCAATTGGGAATAACACAGCCAGCTCACCCAATGCGTGCACCACACAGTACAACATTCCTCCGATGAGGCCAAACGCAATCAGCAGCGACGCCGGCCCACCCGTCGCCAACGCCTTACCGGAACCGACAAACAGACCCGTACCGATGGAGCCACCAATGGCAATCATCTGCAAATGACGGCCCTTGAGCTTTCGCGAAAGGGGCGATTCAGCGACATTGATTGCGGCCTGCTCAATATCATAGGTACCGCCTTCTGCCGCAGCGCGGCGCTTCTGACTCGCAGCGGCGTGGACGGGATGCGGCCTGAAGCCGTTGATGAAGTCGGCGACGAAACCATCCTTCTGGGTGGTGGAGGAGGCCTCCGTAGCGTACGCCGGGGACGGATCTTTCTCTATTCCAGCCATCTTTGGTTATGATGGGGGATGGTTCCTCAGGAAAAACTTGCACTTGCGCAAGGGAGGGAGGAAAGGAAGGGAGGAAGGGGGGTGATGGGATATTATAGATGGGAGAGGTGCGGGATGGAGGAGGACACCTTACAGCATGGTGGGATATAAACGGTATTTAAGTATTAACACACGGGAACCAGCAGAATCGAACATCAAGAGTATGTAGATAGCTATCACTACCGCAACAGGCTAGATCCCTATTGTAGTAGGGTAGTAAAGTAGTTACATGGAGTTTCACTAAACTCCTTCTCTAGCTGATAGGCAAGCGCGGTGGGGGTACAGAGCAAGCAAACTTGGTAGGAAGGCGCCTTGCCTGGTAAGGGCCCGCCGCAACAGATTGATTTGGAGGAGGCAAAAACGGAGACTTCTCCAGGTGAACTGTAACGCAGATGGATATGGATTGGCAGTGCCCCGGCATCACCTTCCCGTGAATTAATATCATTTCCACTGTATGTAGCCTTCATGCAACCACACTTGAAAGAGTGCTGCTGCATGGTCCGTTTGTGAGAGTCTGCCAGTAAACAGCTGAATCCATGTTTTATAATTACCTAAATGCCGTTTATTAGACATCGACATATGGAGAGCTCATGTAGTATACCTACTTTTCTATATGTCAACCTCTCAACCCATAGATCTAGAGAAAAAGACGTTGGCTTCTGGGATAGGATTACAATAGCAAATGAAAGCACTACTATTGCGCTAGGTAACGCTCTCAAAATTAACGTTGATAAGGAACCGCATCCAACTTCCCGGTGGTGATGGCAATTTGACAAGCTTGACAGATAAGCATCTATTACTCTAACAGCCTTGAGTCTTGGATGACCAGTCCCGACCGCCAAAAGCACAATCCCAAGAGTCTTGGTGATCTCCTAAAATTTCACGAATCTTACTTTCAGGGTCTTCCCACCTAACGAATTAGAGAGATAACTCTCTCACCATTCCTCACATTTTCACTCTCTTTGCCCCGTCCTGTCCTGGAAGAGGGAGGGTGGGAAGAACAAGAAGGGGAATCCTGAACAGGAAGCTGCGAAAACCTTCAAGTTAGGCAATTTTTTTGGATCATCGTCGTTGAAGGTGGGGCAACGATCTGGCGGTGTCGCGTGCCTAGGCCGGCGCTGATTGGCCCACAACGGAATTGGGTGTACAGTCGTCTCTGGGTCAACGACGAAACCGGTCCGATGGCGAATAGGCCAATCGAAGCCAACAAAAACCAACAGAAGCGCTCCGACCCTTTGCTTTGACTGACTATCAGCCCAAAAAGTAGTTATTCGTCATCGAGCCGGTTTCGTCGTTGACCCAGAGACGACTGTAGATCGGTAGTCTAGCGACCAATGGAAAAAAAGCAAATTCAAACGCAGCTCCCCGGAATAACTTGTTCTGCCTCCTCCTAACTTGGCCAACCATGACCACCAGTTCACCACAGCTGAGATTTGTTTATCTCTACATAGAGTATCAGATGAGAAAACAATTAATAGTATCAAAACCTTTTCGTCACTGGCCTTGACTCTTAAGACGATGATTCAAAGGGTCGAAAACGGTTGTACTCATTAACGCGCGCACAAATAGTGGGTCATCCATACAAACCCTGTCGACGATACCAGCCTCTAAGTACTTCTAGCCATTCAACTAAAAGGCCCTGTTACCGTACCTGCCTAAGTTTCGCGTGACAAACTTCCTTTCTCGATGTTAGTCCCATCGTGCAAACAAAAAGTTACCGTAGTTTCATCTACCCCGCAAATGTATGTACGGACGGCGCCTTCTCCTTCTCTACGAACCCTTTCTCCAGAAGGTTCAGAGGTTCCATTTCCATTTCCCCGTAGACTAACCGTACCTTCGCAGAGGTAGGTACATACATACAGCAGCAGCAGCCAGCCAATATCGGGGCACCTTCCATATTCAAGCTTCATATGCGGCCTCGGAATGTGTGGTGTTATCGACATGACCGACATGGATTCGCCGCCCATAATCATAATCATATTAAAGTCTGCGTCGAAGGGAGCGGATCGATGATCGATACAGCATACATCATGAGGTTCGCGACGACACACCGCCACCACCCGGACAACCCTCATGTTAAACACGCTGCTTTAATGTTCCAGACGCTCGGAAAATTAATGCCCTATTGGTTGGATGAAACCTTTTTACATATGAGGATGAGGGACTGAAACATCATCACATGCCAGTAAGCTCAATTACAGCCGCAGGCGTTCCTTTCCCCAGCTTTTGCTTGGGCCCCAGGGGAAAAGGAAAAAGTAACGAAAAAGCCATATTCCGTCATCAAACTTTAATACCTCGGTCGGGCGTGACTTAGTGGCCATAGGAGAGCTTTTTCCATTTTCTACATAGGGGCTGCGGCAAGAAGCAAATAAAGTCCACACTGCCTAACAGCAACGGTACCTCCTCTAACTCGGCCTAGGTGCATATAAACCAAGAGCTTTCTTGTAATAAGTCCATGTAGTTATAGGGGAAATTCGGTACAAGATACTTAGCATAGCCATAGACCTAGGCTATCATTTTGTACCCAGCGTTATAATAAGTAACGCACTTTTATTTAGGAACATTCTTTGCATGCCTCCCTAAAACCTAATTTGATATCATGAACACCTGAGGAACTTAAAGATCATGATCATCACCAATCCAATATTATTTGCCGCAATGCATGGCATGAAAACCGCTTATCGGCGCTCGCCGTTACTATTTGAAGGGACCACCATAAGTAGCCAAGAGCTCGAGCCATTGGGAATTTAAACTTCTCAGTGGTGGTGTAACGTCCCTCAACACAACTCAACCAACCAGCAGTCGTTCGCCAGACAGACGCCGCAGCCACGAAACGGAGGCACCGAACGGACTTCATTGCTTGTTTGAGGGAAACTATGGAGAAGCCGATGAGACCCGCTGTTAGCCCTTTTTTTATATCACGAATACGGGGACTGCATATGTATAAAGGAGCATCGGATTCCCCCACGTTTTGCTTGGCCTTTCTTCGCTGGTTCCTGGATCATTGGTTGCTCCATGATCGTATCATAGAGGTTTATTTGGAGGAGCACTCTCTGCATTTAATTTGGTGTCACATACCTAGGCAGTACACATATCTTGGATTCTATCAACCTTAAACGCCTTCCCAACTTCTGGAAGAATTGATGCTTAGCTAGGGCGGTGGCTTGCAGGCCAAGAAGGCCCTAGGATCGTGAAGGGAATAAGCTCGCCGTTGACAAGAGATTCCTCAGATTTTTCCGCCGGATGCAGACACAATGAAATCGCCGAACCAAAAAAAAGTAGTGCATACCAAACTAGACTCTAGTTGTATCCAAGCCCCTCCCGATTCCGTTAATTAACATAAAAGGCTTCCTTCTTAGTTGATGATTACCAAACACCGGCATTTGAACTTGGCGCCATGGCTCCGGTGAACTTTTAAGCTCTCGGGTTTGCGGTTTTGCAGGTGTGTCGGGTGATACCGCTGCCATCGACCGGCACGATTCGATTTGGAGGTAGCACCTATCATGTATGTTATCTTGGGTTGGGATCCTGTCAAAGATCATGTTAGTAACCACCGCCAACATGGCACCAGTTGCAAAAAAGGAAAGGGAGAAAAAAAGTAAATATAAAACTTCCGATTCATGGCGAGCTTCCTTCATAGCTATCAATATCTACCATCGTGAGATTTTGTTTACCCACTCTTTGATCAGAGCCACCCACGCACTTCCCCATATTTACTAACGAAACATACATATACCATGCCATTCCAGCGTTTACCGAGTCTCGCGTCGTCCGCGTCGGGGCGATAAACCCCACAAATTAGGTAATGGCCATCGAACAAAATCCCCGTTATCGTGAAGAAGAAAGTGAGGCTAGACAGTGAAAGGAAGGAAGGGAGGAGAGGCTGACGCACTGTAATTGAATTTGTCGCTCCACCTACTGGCCTTCCCCCCTGTGCCACATCCTGGTTGTAAAGTAATGTTGTCAGGGTAGAGTAGACTTGAAGTTGCTAGATGCATATGTCGCTATCAAACTAAACCATATGCTCATTTTGAATTCTTGAGCACTTTCCCTCGGGGGACCTGTGCAAACCCGGTACAAAAAAACAAGAATATCAAATATATAGTAGCAGCTCAGTCATGTCATTTGGATAAATATATTTACCCTTACTTGGGATTTGATCAAACGGCCTATAGGCCGGAGGTGTATCGAATCCATCGATGTTATGGTATTTGCACTAAGCATGCAAGATACGATACGATTAATCGGATGAAACCTTTACCTTGGTAACTTTCTAGTGTATCCTGTCTAGCTAGTTGTCGGATGATATGTAGATGGAACTTTCGATATCAACTAATTTCTATATCGCAACATCAATCTGATCCGATGGTAGATACGGAATTAAACTGCCTTATCTGTCTTACCACCAACCCGTCACCCATCCCGTCCATCCGTCCCGTTATAAAAAGGGAAATGATAATCAAAGAATCGGTTCTATAGACGCCTTCTAGAAGAAAGAAAACTCCCGTTTGAATCGTTACATGATATAAGGCAGTTTTTCGACAGATGTCGGCAGTGATAACGGCCGCGGGCAAGCCTTGTAAAAGCCTTGTATGTGGAAACTATTCTCGGTGATTGACGCAGGGAATCTTTCTTTTTCCCTATTTTTTTCTCTCATTTGGTGTTGCACAATAAAAGAAAACCGCGTAAGTGCCATCATGTAGTCCTCGTACTACAGGTCTTTCTCGGCATGTATTCCGAGTTGGGTTTCTGTACAACGTACGTAGAGTACTTTGTCTACGCGAATAAAATCGCGCGACGATCAAGTACTCATATCAGCCTTGTGCGTGCGCCGAATATCGAATGTGTGACGTTGAATAGATAATCAAAACAACCAGCGGGTGTATGATGGGGGTCGTTGCAGCATCATGCAACGATCACTGTGGGAGGAAAGATGCATGTGTTTTCAAGGGTCGGATGATAACTGTTTCACAGGGGACTGCACAGATATCCTTTGAAAGCACTGCGACTCGGCAGCCAAAGAGCTGTCAGAGGCGCATAAAGCTTGATTCAAGGATTTTGATAGCTCCTGATTGTCTCTTTCCAACAGAAGAAGAGAGCAGCCAGGCATACGCATACTATGGCACCCTTTTCCGTGTATGGTTGAGAATTTGGTCGAGATTATATCACCGCATACTGTTGGAGTTTTAATTTCGAAACTTCATGAGAATGAGTTATCGTTTAGACCAGCTGCTATTCCCCAAGACAGACAGATCAGCCAGGTAGTTAGAGGGATTTAAGATTTGTACTATCATTGGGATATATTATATTAGTCAAAAGCTCCCCTAAAGACCAGAGATAAGTGTACTCTAGCTTTTAATGTTGTTTAAGATTCGCCCACCGGAATGTTGCCCGTACGCGTTACGCCCAAAAATTGGGGTGGGAAACCGGCATCCCCTGCGGATCCAAGTCAAGAGACGTTAGTTAGGTTTCTATTCATTTTCGCGGCCCGTTGCGCACGTCAACCAGCTTGCAGCTCGACAAAAGATAAAACGTAAAATTCTATTCGAGCCAAAAAGTCTAATCAAGCATGAACGCGTAACGCGGTAATCATGATCCTTCATCATACGTCTGGCTTTTTTTTTGGTGCTAAAAATATTTCAAAGGAAGGATCAAACGGGAGCGAGCTAGCCAGATTTCGGTTTCAAGTCGGTTTGGACAAGGGTTACCCTGCCTGGAATCATGTTGTGTCACTCGAGGTCAAATTCAATGTCAATATGCAATTGCAACCTTTTACCGGCTGATCGCAATAGAGTACAGTCGCTCACCTACTGACGGCGGATCCTGTCTGATGGTTCTGTTTGCAGTAATTTGCCCTTGGCGTCCAAAACCTAACTCTTTTATTGGCCTCAAATTCCTGACCGCCATCAGACAGGATCCGCCTTCACCCCGTGAGTGACTGTAGAAAAGGTCTAGACAGACATGATCCCAGCCCAGAAAAAAAACGTTGTTCCAAATCTCGCTTCCATAGTGTTTGAGGAAGCTTATTAAGAAAAAAACCGGGGGCCGCAAGAACTACCAGAATCGAACGTACTAACCTGTTTAATTTGCGATCGTGGTAATAAAATCACTGAGAAATAGAATTTGTTTTCAGCTGATCTGCCTGATCTATATATATTATAATAAACTCACTCATGAAAGCCATATATATTGCTAGAACAAGGCTTAATCCGCAACGTTTTCAGGCTATAAGTAATCGAAGCCTCTCGAGCTCTATAGCTATCTAAGGTTTAAAATGCTCTCGCGGGGGGGGGGGGGGGGGGGTTGTTTCTCTATTGCTCGAATGAAGGAGATGAGAATGATGATTGGACTACCGTAGATTAATTAACTTATATATATAGGGTTCCAAAACTAACACATACTTAACCGCTTACAACCACGTAGCTTTTGTAACGTGTTTTAACAACTAGGCAGCTAACCTATTCAATCTGTTACCTAGACTTCTCGGGTTGATGGTATAAGCTACATATAGCTTTCTGCTGGCTATCTAGATCGCGGCAAGAGAAGATTCTTTGATAATATATACATGTATACATGTAGTTATATCGTCCCAGCTTATACGCAGGCTCTTGACAACCAACCGACACAACTCCCAAAACCGATCCTACTGCAAAACAACGGATATATGGGGGGCTGACATAGAAGAGCCCCCCCCCCCCCCCCCCCCCGGGGGGTTTGAGACGTCCACAATACCGGATTCTGAGTTGACAGTTTAAATCCGATCCCTGGGACTCTGAAGCAGCAGGTTCTCACGGAAAGTAGCAGCTCCAGTAATGATAGCCTCGAGATTAGATGAGACACGTTATTTACTGACACACAATCGAAGAAATATAGTGGGATGACAAGATGACATGGAAGGCCGAGATGAGACATATCATGTAAGATGGAGGCTCTAGCTACATCCCCGTCTGTGCATATCGGTCCACAACGTGTCATCGTTATACACGTACTACTCTGAGAGTCAGCTAGCACAGCGCTATAGCGCTATTGTACATGTAGTACACCCCCCGAAGAATGTCTATCAAGATCTAGAGGTTACATGTAGCTGTCTGCCACCAAGGTTCGTGAAAGTTTAAATCGGTGGATATACTACATGTAGCTCGCACTTGCGGTATACCACGTGTACATGCGTACGTATACACGAATTTTAGCTAGGATGGCTAAGATATACGGCAGCAGAGTATGGGGTTGTTGTCGTGATTATAGCATCCTGATATTCTTGATAGTAACATACCTTCTAAACTGTCCTAAAACTGCTCTTGAAAGTATCTTTTGTAAACGCGTCCCCATAGTCCCCTACACATACACCGATCAGGTGCGCCACTCGAATAGGTAAATTTAATTAAAGCATATGCATTGGTGAACTAAAAGATGACATTGCAGCTAGCTCGCTGCAGTGTGTATTCAGGCACGTGACAGACAACCGGTATTCTTGAGACAGACATATTTAAATAGCGTAACATTTGCGGAGCATCATCATCGACTGCCGGGTTTGCCTTGGGAGGCCGGCCGGCTGCGCCTAGCTGTAGCTTGTACAGACAGTCGATCATGATACAGCCTTGCACGTGATTGTGATGTTACAGCCTCGTAAAGTTTAAACATCTAAATTGCACTAGTACTGTCTGTGTAAGTCTTGCTTGCACTGGAAGTAGAACGTAGCACTGTTATGAATCCGTATACATGTACATCCACCCACGGGGAAAGTTAACCAAGGCATATTATAAGTTCGGGCGTATACATTTAATACTAAATTGCAAATACATGTACGTATGACCAGATAATGGTGTAAGTGCTCGTATTCATGAGATCTCAGCTCGGACAAAAGCTAAACATAATACATGTAGATACCGGTTTCAAGAAATTTCTGTCGCGGGGGTGGTCGGTATGAATGGAATCATGGGGTATCACTCGTATGTACTAGCTTTTGAAAATTGCTTCCCCTAACTTGTAAAGTACATGTGCACACGAACGCCACCGGAATTGCAGTCTTGGAGATGCTTGGGCTATACTGCAGACTTTGAAATAATATAACTAAATCGACTTCACTTAAATTAATACTAGCTACGTATAAATAAACGACATAATGCGGCCCCACGCCTCGCGACAGATCCTCCCGCTTGCTGAGTCAATACTATGGAGTAGTACACCAAGTCTAAATCCCGGGTGTATATTAAACCACATAAGCGCATGCCCGCCGATCAAATCCCCGAGCCGGCGGTCTCCATGTTTGGACTGCGTTACCTAAATTGACCGGCGAGCAAGCCTACGCTCTAAGATGAGCTCGGCAGTGAAAGAGAACAGCCCATTCACCCCACTGAAGAGAACAACTCTGCCTGTATGTCGGCGAAGACCTCTCTTTGTCATGATGCCAAGCTCAGCCATACAGATGTCTACCAACGCCTCTGAGAAAAGGATTTTCGAACATATCTGGATATTCCAGCGAGCAGTGCACGGTAAAACTACTAGTATATCTATAGAGCCACTGACACCTTCCACAAGTAGATATTTCTTTTTTATAAATTTCGCGCGGTATTGTGTAGTTCTAGTGGCCAGGTGAAGGACACTTGGATGTTCTGGAGCATGGCGCACTGGCTATTGAGTTTAACGGGATGATATTCTATAAATTGGGAAAGTGAATTCGGAGAGCAAGTGAATTATCGGGAGAGCGAGACAATATCTAATAACTCGTGACTGTTGGTCAAAAAGAACAAAAAGCAGCATTGATGGTCCAGCCATATCTACTACTCCTACTCTTGGATTGAACTTTGAACTTTCTGTAATCGAAGGCAAGGTACAACTTCTTAGTGTCTGTCCGGAAGGCGAGCTAACTGCTAGGCTATTCTTTCATGTGTGTTTGTGGCTTTGAATTATGTTTGAGCGGAAGGCTTATATACTGCAAGCGCCAAGAGATTGATTGATTGATAACAGGCCGATAACAGGTAGGAGCGACGAAGCTACGGAATGTTCAATGACAGTCGGGCCGTGAAAAGATGGCTACATCTCAGAAAGATCGTATCAGGTCGGGCCTTACTTGGCTCATCATATTACCAATATTTAAGACCAATTATAAGCCAAGGCTACTTTGTCACTCCTCCTCAGCTGCCTGCACAGGGGCTGGAGTACGAACCCTCTTCCCGGAAAAGGTTCGTACTGCAGCAGAGAGTCGGGAAAGCTAGGAGACCCCGGGGTCATTGATCACCTCCTAACACCGTCTGTATATGCGAGTGTAGACAGGTGTGGACTAGTTGTGCCGGACTGAACCAGATACTCTCTGACACTTGAGTGGTATGACTCCGAGGTGTTTACCCCTCTTGCCGCCGTAAAGAGTAGGTATGAATGTGGCCATAGGTTTTTAGGCAGTACACAGATTTGGTTGAGCTGTCGACCCCATTATTTCTGGTTTACGTGGTATGTGCGCACCACCTACCAGCTAGCGCGCGCAGGTTACGATGTAGAGGGTACGCACTGTATGCTGAAAAGGAATGGGAAGGGGGGCTTAAACAAATGAGGGGATAGGGGTTATCTCTGGGGTAGAAAGTGCAGCTGCTTGAGAGAGCTATGAGGAACCACGGCCCGGTGATAAGTCGGGGTGCCGCTTTTTGTGGGAGTGGCTTCCTTGTGTACCAAGCTTGAGATTGGAGTGGGTTTACAGTAAGAGAAGGGAGTAGATTGGTCGTTGAATGTTACCAGTACACGCCTGCCACCATTTCGCAACGTTTGTAGGTGGTAGTGTGCAACTATCGAGTGACTGTATATGACGGAAACATTCATGAATGATCACTTGACTCAGAGACTAAGTCTCGCGGCCGCGGGAAGAAAAAAAAAGAAAATATAGCCACAGGGATATATATTTGCGCCGTCAAAAATACCAATGATTCACAGACGGGAATTAGGTGCCCAATGCGCGGGGTGAGGCCAGAGGCAGCCATTTTTGGGAAAAATCAAGTACTTGACGCCCAATCCTACCATTACCGCAGCGTAGGCGCGGTAACTGGCCTGACTAATCACAACCTCTCACTCGGTCCTCATATCAGGGGGTCTCAGCTAAGCAACCCTCGGGCCGAGAGACCGTTCCGGTGCCGGATTTTATATACTCAAAAGGCATTGCCTCATAGCCCAACCGGGTGGGTATGTGAACTTTGGTGAAACCATGATCGAGCAAGTGGCACGTGTTACCCCCGGGGTCTTCGGTTGCCTCCAAATCCACACCCTCTCTCCCTCGTTCCTTCCTTGATTTCGTCGTAGAGTGCAATTGAATTTTTGTTTCCCAAAAGAAGCCAGATCCTTGTATCGCATATTAAAGAGGACGAATCTCACGGCACAGGGCTCCGGCACGAATTGTTTCCCCCTTGGGGGTTTTTTTTATATGTGCCGCAGATCAGGAGTCGGAATGGGATGGGGATGGGGATGGGATGGGATGAGATGGGATGATACATGAAAGGTCTCGCTTCCTTAGTTCCGGGAGATGAACGTTTTTTTATATATCGTGGTAGTAGTTAATTAGATATGTACGCAATACGTTTGAGTTTCACTCGAATCTCCACTACCGCCAGGTCTCGAAACGGCGCGCTTCCAGACCTTTGAATCTCCGGTGAAAGTGGCGGAAGTTGCTGAAGACACCAAGCCGTCAAAAGACAAGCCTAGCTAAGGCGGTAACGTAACGTCGTAGCTGATATTTGTTCCATTTCCAATTTTAACAGCAGCGATTAACGAGCCGCGAACCGGGGAAGAGAAGGTGAGAAGGAACCGAGACCTGAGGAGTGATGTTCTCATTTCAGATTCTAGATGAGATTGTTTAGTAGGTAGCGCAGGGCGGCAGCCGTAACACATGATTCGGCAGATCCAGGCATGGGCGAGAGAAACAAAATTATGTGATTCTTGTTTAAATTGGATCCTAGTTAATTTCCTAGGGCTGTGTATGTGTGCGATTGGTGTGAGTGAGTTAGTTAGTTGGAGGAATTTCACACCCTAATAATGGGGAAATAAGGCTGGGTAGGGGTGTGCAGTGATATTTGTGAATGTTTTAGGGTTGTAGTAGGATTAGCGAAACAAGAAGCTTAAGGGGGAAAGGAAGGATGGATCATGACAGGGTAAAAGCAGACCAGGGCGAGGGTTAGTGCGCTAGTTAGTGCCACAATTGCAACTGCCACACCCACCCACACCGCCAAGAGGGCTGGGTGGATGGATGATATAATCCAGCCTGCATGGGCCGGTTTTGTAAAAGTACCAAAAACCTTTGATTAAGATTCATCCATTTCATCCCTGTTCAGCAAGCAAAGCAAACATTCCTTTCTTTCCATTCTTTTGTTCCTTTCTTTGTGCGGATTTTTTCTTCAGCAACCTGTAGCTACCGGCACAGTGTGTAGTAGCTTCCTCGTCTTCCCCATCCCAACGTAAATACTTCCAGATATCCCTTCTACTTCGACGCGAGCAAGGCAACATTGCTCTCTCTCCCGGTATAAACTTTCAGGTCGTATTGGAATTTGGCGCATATCGCGAGTAAGTCGGTCCATCATTCTGCTTGCTATGTTTTCCCCTTCTCGAGCCTTCTTCCTCTTTCCTCTGTGGCCAGGATTCGACGAACACGCTGTCATACAGTCAGACGGCTGTTTCATGGAAGAAACGGAAAGGTGAGGATAGGAATTCGGAGTAGCAGCAGTAGTGAAGGGCCATGATATATATCTGCTGTGTGGTTGTGGTAGTGGTTGAGGGCATTGGTTGTATGGTAACCAGAGGAACATGGTGGGATGGTGTGGGAAGTACCGATAGCTACACCTAGCTATCGGTTGGCTGTCATCAGGCACCGACAGACCAGACCGACAGCTTTAAACAACGTCGCAGCATGCGTGTCGGTCTGTCGCTGGTGCTTTGACGCCACCAGCGCCCACCATCCCTACAAATTGTTTCCCCAGCTACTTTACGCCGTGCATACCTCTACATCACATTACATCTTCCCCTGCTGCTGCTACCCTGATTCCGAGTTGTGGGCTTGTACCCCAACATATCCATCTTTCCTCAATCTGTTTCTCACGTTGCAGTAGTTTTTTTTCTTTCCCTCTCTCGTGTTACTCTCGGCCCCATTGTTCCCACTTCACCCCTCCTCCCTCCTTCTCCTCTTTATCAGCTGCCCCTCCTTCAACAGTATTGATAAATACAACTTTCGCTAATCGCACGCTCCTCCGGTGCTCGAATTAGCTCCACTTGCACCATTCTCAAATATCGCTGCCGCGTTCAATAATAGTACAATTCCGGAACTCAGTATCACCCGAAGGGTACTGGCATAGAGACTCTCCTTTACCCCTCGTCACCTCACGGGAGCCCTGGAAATATGGGTGTTAAAAGTGATTTCAAAGCTGCAAACTCAGCATCGAATGTCAATGTCACAGCTACAAAGAAAGATATCTCAGTCGAAACAGCGCCCAAGCGGGATTACAAAGACGATGTACGTACACCTGCATTCTTCGCCTCTTATTTGACTGGGTTTGCTACGCTTTTATGGGCGTTGCGGGGGGAAACACTGGGAGGGTGACTAAGTGTGAAAAAAATAGGTGATTGAGGATCTTAACTGCGACTTGAAAAAGCTGCAGAAGTCGCTCACATGCGTCATCTGCCTGGAGATGCTTTTTGAGCCGTACACGCTTCAGTGTGGGCATGTGTTTTGTTACACGGTATGTAAAACCCTCAACAATACTTGGATTTGAACCATAGCTGATGGCCAAGTAGTGCGTGCTAGACTGGTTAGGCCAGGCCCATAAAATGACTTGCCCCGAATGCCGAAGTGTTGTCAAAGTCCAGCCGGCGCCAGCTTACCTGGTTCGTGAAATTCCTGATGCTCCGCAATCAATCGATTTTCAAACCTGCTCACCATGACTTTGTCCATAGATTAAAGATATGATCGAAGTATTTGTGTTGCGTGCCGAACTTACATCGCCTAATGGGAGTGGCTTAGAGTTACGAAAACAGCAGCAAGAGGCCCTCAAAGCAGTTGAAAGAGATAAAGCTAGTGAGGGGGGATTAGCTGGGGGTGGGCTGTTCCGCGGGTTGTTCAAACAGAAAAAGAAAGACCCAAGAGTAGTACGTGACCCAGAGGATGGGGTGTCAAGATGCCCAAGATGTAACTGGGAGATAGAGGATGGATATCGGAATCGTAGGTGCGAGCACTGTGGCGGTAGATTTCGGCGTTTGTCTCGCTATGGGGATTTTTCGGATGATGACGATGAGGATGAGGATGAGGATGAGGATGAGGATGATGACGATGAAGATGATGACGAAGACGATTCTGGGTCCGAGACTGACACCGATCACGAGAGAAGACATCCACTATTTGAATCAAGTGACGAGAACGAATTGGAGGAAGTTGACTGGGATGCGGCCGATGCGATTCACATGTTTGCTCGCAACCACCTCCAAGGTCACTTCGACGAAGATGAGGATGAGGAAGATGACGACGAGGAGGAGGACGAGGAGGACCACAGAAACAGAATGCGGGATTCCTCAGAATCAACAACTGGTGGGAGAGACGAACCAATCATTCTCGAAGATGGCTCTGATACCGATGAGGGAACAAGAAATGTTCAAAGACCACCTAGGGTTGTCCCCCACGCCGGGCGGAGAGCGAGGCATAGGGCCACTAATCATACGGAAACAAGTGAAGACGAAGGAAGTTTAGCAGATTTTATAGAGCATGACACACCCGAGGTTCGAAGAGGGAGACCAGTACCTGGAAGAAATGGGGCAGGGACACGCAACATTTTTAGCAACAGCCCTGTGGTCATTTCTTCATCTCCAGCAATCATAGCACCCACTCGAAGAAATGCAAGGAGGACTGTTATCGATGACGAAGAGGAGGACAATGAATCCTCAGTCTCAGAAGCATCTTTAATACACCCGCGACGTGACTATAGCCAACGGCGCGGGCCCATCGCATTGCCTAGTGATAATGATGATGATGATTTGGAGACACTAGGACACAATATGGGATATACACCTTTGGATTACACAGCTAGCGAAAACGAAGATGACTCGTTTGTGAGTCCGTCATCCGGCGGAGGAACCCACACAAATGTTGCCAGTCATAACACTGGCTCTGGTAGTGTTTTCAGTGTTCCGGAAGAGGATGAGGAAGATGATGGGGATGATGATGAAAGTGAAGACCAGGATGGCGATGTGAGGATGGGTGGGAACGAGCAAAGAAGGAGAATTCCCAGTAGTCAAAGGGCTGTGAGGAACAGAACTAGAAGCAGCCGCCCTCACGCTATAGAGGATGATAGTGAGAGCGACTCTGATGCTCCCACGACAAGGCGAAGACGATTACAGGCCGCCGGTAGTATGAGTAACTATCGCCGCGGTGAAACGAGTAGCTCCCGCAACTGGTCTAGCCGAAGACAAAGAGAGATTGTCCCGGCGTTCTTAAATATGTTCCAACAACACAGTCAGGCAATGACCGAAGGCCGATTGGAAAGTTTAGGTTCTATGAACCCGAGCGTTAGCCCTGCCAGGAGCGCAACACCAGTGCAGAGAAATTACACTGGCGGGTCATCGTCTAGGGCCACAAGATCTACAAGGGAATCTGCACGGGAATCAAGAGAATCAACGAGGGAACTAACACCTGTGCAAGCAATGGGACAGGGCTCCCCGCCTCCGCCATTTTCACCAATGTTTCAGGGTATTAGTTCAAGTTTGGCATCAAACAGTCCAGTACCAAACAGTCCCGCACCCAGTAATTCGCAAATACAAAGCCCACGCCTAGGCGCTGAAGCACGTGCAGGAAGCGAAGGTGGTCCTAGCAGTCAAACGCCTTTACAGTCACCAAGACCTGTTCCGATTACAATCGGAGCCTCCCCGCAAGCCAGTCGCATGCGCACTAGGAATTCAAGACAACAGCTCCGAGGGACCACAAGCCGCTCGGGTCCTCGTCTAGGCAGTGCTACAACTACACCTAATATCTCACAGCCAGCGCAGCTTCAAGGAGTTACAAGTACGGCAGCGGCCCATGGACGGCACCAGGGCGCTAGGCCACCAATCTTGACCGCTGCGGCATCAAGAGGTAGGAGAGGCACTCCATTGACAACAGCGGATATTCGTGCGCGAGGAGAGGCAATGCTACGACAAAGACAAGAGGCGGCCGAGTCAGCCAACGGCTTAGGAAGAAGGAGCAGCAGGAGGAATCTATCATCAAGTACGACAAACGGTGGCGGAAGCTCTGCGCCAGCACCGCTTGTCACCGTAGGAAGGATAGGCTCCAATACCTTGCAAGGTAACGGAAGGAGAGTAGGGGCAGTTATTGGGGGTGCACCAGGCCAAGGTGCGGGTGGCGGGCCAATGTTGATCATTGACAATGGTGACGAATAGATAGAAAACTGCGGGCTCAGAGCGCTTTGCTGATGCCTTTTCAATCGCATCCGTTATGCATTATCATACTTGTTTTATCCTACTCATTTCCCCTTCTTTCCTTTTTTCTTCCTCCTCCAAAGAGCGACATGCTGTACTATGATTTTCATGATGGACATGAGTTACAACTATTATTACATTCCGTAATTATGTTTTTTTTTACACAACTTTCCTGTAGTTAACTGACTATTAGTTAATTGGGAAGGAGCGTCTGAGGGATAGGATGTAAATGCCTTTTTCCTTTCTTTTATCATGTAGTATATCTAGCTCAAGCGAACTACATCAGTGTGTAGTAGACAAATGTTTATTTAAAGTGTATTCGCGCGATTATAGCGTATGTAGTGCGGCTGAACCCGAGAAGTCGTGATACAGTCCAATCTCCCTATAAGGGTATCTCTTATAAGGGTAATCGCCTTATAAGGGTATGGGTTCTCGGGCTATAATCACCTTCGTAGGCACAGATTCACCCTGTGTATAAGGGTACACGGCCTATAAGGGTACGACTTCGCGCCACTTTTGTACCTTATAGGGAGATTCGATTGTACTTGGCTTGTCTAACACGTCGGCGGGTAAAAAAGTCGTATTACACATTTTGAGCATGTCAGCAACCAGCTCTGGTAGCTCAGGGGTTAGAGCATGCGATTGCAGATCGCAGGGTCGATCGTTCAAATCGGTCTCAGAGCTTATCATATTCTTTTGCTTTTCTTTCCCCTGATCATGTGTACGCTATCCGGTGGAGGTTTAGCTGGAGAACAAGGGGCGGTGCATGCCGAGAAGACGGAAATGCTCATCTGGTAGAAAACGGCCACCAGGAGCGTAAGTAATGGTAGATGATGGGTGCAGTTGGTTCGGTTCAGTTGAGGAGCCAAGTATAAATAGTAGAGTAGAGTAGGTTATCACAGGAATTCTTTTTACATATTTAGCCCAAACCTAATTAACATTGTCTACAAAATTATTTCGCGTATTTTCTTGCTAGTTTTTGTTGTACCTGCCTCCACCAATATCTTTACCACATGTTCGTGGCCATTCCTAACCGCCAGCGAAATCGCTCTCCTCTTGAACGAATTTCTGGCTTCTACATCTACACCCATACCAACTAACCTCTTTACTAAATTTCCAGCACCACCTTCTGCGGCCCCAACAAAAATCTCAATCAGAATATCTGACTGCCCGTGTTCCGATGCCCATAACAGTAGCTCCTCCAGAACCTCGGTATCATTAACCTTAGAGGAGGCCACAATGGTTTTTATTGGCAGGGACCGTAGTATGTCGCGTCTCTCGGTTGTCCGAGTGAGTGTGCTATGGTGTGATACCAGGAAGTTTTGAACTTTCGGTCGATATCCCGATCGGATCGATGCCTCTAGTGTTAGAGGAATTGCTTCCAGCACTTGGCGGCCAGGTTGAGTTGCCTTGAGCGCGAGGGTGTACGTTTTTTCATCGACACAGGCTTTTACACCCAAAAGAAATGTCACTACGTCTTCGTGGCCGTTATACAGGGCGAGGTATAAAGCTGTTGACTTTTCATCATCATCGGTCCAGGAGTTGAGGGTCAGGTTCCTTGTCAAGTAAAGAAGCTTTAAGATCTCCAGGTCCCCATTTTGAGCGCAATAATGAACTGGGCGATATCCACTTGGGTCAGGACCGTTTATTGCGGCGTACTTCTCGTAACCGAAAGAGCTGAGTAAAATTTCCACAACATTTTTGAGCCGGAATTTGGCTGCTAGATGGAGGGGTAAATAGTTATTTTTATTACTAGGAGAGGAAAGTTCTGGGGTAAAATTAAGGTGGTAAGAGTTTTGGTCATATCCAAGTTCGAATTCTGGGGTTTCAGCGAATGTTTCGAGCAGAAGCATTGCTGCTCGCTCGTGTCCATTAGACATGGCTATGATGATGGCTGTTTTAATGGTGGGCGTGGTGTAAAAACATGAAAAAAGCTTTTGACCATGATTAGACACAAGTAGTTGCAAAGTCCTCTCATAGCCCATTTTCGCTGCATAATAAAAGGATAATTCGTCTTCCACCAGGCAGTTTATGTAAGATGAGGCGATGTAGTCGAGAATCTTGACGGGGGGCGTATCAAAAGGCTTATAACCCGTCCTTTGAGTAAATGATGCAAGTAAAATCGCAATAATATGTCCATAATCATTCTTTACCGCCCAACGGAACACATTTTCACATAAACGGTCTGACATACCGATCTCGCCATTTCCCCAGGGTCGGAAATTGAAATAAACCTTGTGGTCTAATACTAGCTCTGCGAACGATTCAATCATTCCATGGCTGCCTTCGAGATAAATGGTGTGTTCAACCCAATGGTTGATAATATAGTCGAGGAATCGATTTTTGATTCGGGTAGCTCTACAAGGTCTTAAAAGGAGATTAAAATATTGGTTGATGTCGACTGATGGGCGTGAGAATCCTGCCTTGCGGAGGAAAATCAACATATCGCTCTTTGTCTTTTTAACTAAGCCTATCATATCTGGTATCCAACTTGTCGCTGTTAGATGCGGAATTTCGGATTGCGTGACGGCGAGGGTCCTTTCGCGTTCGAAATCGTCCTCAAAGTCGTTAAACATAAGATAGGTGACACAAATGTTAGCAGCTTCAATTTCAGCAACTTCTGATCGAAAATGGAAGTTGGTAAGCTGCCTGGAAATATCGATTTCGTCAAGTGAAACATCGGAAACTAAAAACTGTTGCACAGTATAATGCGCCAAGTGAATACTTCTGTCCTGGTGATCGTATACCACAAGTTTACCACAGGCCCTGAAGACTTGTGAGGCTTCTGGCACTTTATCGAAATCAACCGATCTATCCTTTACTTCTATAGAAACCGCTTCCCGTAGCTCATCTAGAGTTAGGGCGCGTCTGGCCGCTACTATCCACCTAAAGGCCTTTTGAGCCAAATCGATCTGAGCTGCACCTTGGTGTATTATTTCAACCAAAGCTCGTGTGTATGTTTCGTTCAAATCACTTGGAAGATTGTTCAAAACGTTTCTGACACCGTCCTCTGACATTTCCTCGCAGATATCGTTGAGCTGAAATCTCACCCAAAGAAATCTGCATTATCTTAGCGAGTGAGAAATATCAAGGGATACTAATCAATTTATAGTTACATACCTGCCTTTCCCTTTTTCCACGAGTGTATCAATAATTTCTTGTAGAAAAATGGGATTCCGTACACAAAACTTCTCGTCTCTTATCTTCGTTTTGATGGTATTTCCAATAACCATAGAAATATCCGGAGAGACGCTTTTAGAACTAGCGGCGATGGAAAACCAATTACGACCGGTGAATGATTTGCGTATATCGTCTTCTACTCTGCTGGAAACAAAAAGCTTGACTATGGATGCGGTGCTTCGTCCCAACATAACTAGCCATGGCAAGATAAGTTCACGCTCCTTCTCATTGCATTCATCTAGGCCGTCGAGAACGATGAAGACCTTTGGTAGCTCCTTAATCGATAGAAAAAGAATATTAGAGAGCTCCTGCATGCTTGGAACACAGTCATTCTTATAAATATTTTTTATAGTTCGAACAATTCTCTTAGAAACCCGGGGGTCACTAGATAACTGCTGAATTATGTTTCCAACGATCTCTCGGGCCTGGAGTGTCACATTATTTTTGTAGTCGCAATAGAAATATGCCAAGAGGGCATCCTCAAGATCGTGTTCACTTTTGATGGTGTCAATCACGGCAGTCCTATACAATATCAGCACAATCCTACCATGTCAAAATAGGCACTAGTTAGTGGATAATTTACGTCAACATAGTTTTTCCAGAGCCAGCTAATGAAAGTTAACGTTTGAAAATCCTAGTAAGGTTTGCAATAATGTAGGCTTACCAATTCCATAAAGCCAAATGCAGGACGAACTACCTTGACTTATCCAACTGCAAAACTCGTGTGTAAGCGTTATCCATTTACCCGTGCCTGCACTTCGCTCTCTTTGGAGTTTATGATGCTTCCACTTAGGTTGACATTGCGATAGGTTTTGTAGGGCTGATATTCCATCAATTTTCTCTTCTAAGTATCCATTATAATATATATAAGCTAGTATTACAATTGCACATTATCATAAAAGGGGTTCTTACGTTCAAGCATTACCAGCTGCCTTTCCCACTCCTTCTGCGCCCTAAAATGCTCTAGGGCCCGGATCCGACTGGAAAGGGCTCGCTTTTCGCCGCCACCGACATGTTCATAAACTAGATCCCTCCGTTCTATTTCTTTTCTGTGTCTCTCTTTATCTGCAGTCTCTTCAATTATATAAGATAAGCTTGCTTCGATTTCGACCCTCTCCATATAGTGTTGTATTCTTCTCAGAGATCCGCCAGAGTCTTCCATAAAGGATTTCCATAGATTTTGTATAGTGCCTAGTTATAGATCTAAGCAAGGCATTTTGAACCCAGCTTTTAGGGGCTGGTTATATTGGTGTTGCATAAGATTTCTTTAGACTTACATTGACGACTCCTTGCGCTCCGGAAAAGATTGTTTGCTTGCATGCAGAACTCGAGGACATCCAGATAAACAAATGGCATGTACCCGATAACGTGTTTGTGGGTAGGGAATAAGCGCTCGTAGGCATTGAATCTAAACACTATATCCCCCACCTTTTTGAGAACGTTGACCAATTTGGAGTAATATTTCTTGAAATTACTTGAAAGCTATTCAAGAGTTAGCGGAGGGGTTTTAACTGTTTATCAGGGGTACTCTAACATATAATAATGCCCGGAAGCCGCCCCATATTGTACGTAGGATCAATGAAACCACACTAGGAGGTGCATCGATAACGCCGCCAAAGTAGTCGACTGCAGCGACAAATGATTGCAGTTTTTTCGCTGCCGTATTGGATCTACTTTTCGCCCGGTGTTGTGTTTCAACTGTCCCAGTACTGTAGATGTGGAATAAGTTCTCTAGGGTTGCGCTCTGGAAAAGAACCTTTTGCTCGTCGTTAATCGCATCAAGGTAGCGTTCTCGGGCCTGTAACCAAGGATCTATTCGAAAACTACATTATAACAATAAGAAGTTAGCTCCAATAATTAGAAGCAAGTCGGGTAATATGGAAAAACATGCCCCATCTGTCTTTTGGGGGTTGAAGTGGTGGTTCTCAGAGATCGTGCTGAGCCTAGCAACTTAAGTAGTGTAGCTTTCAAAACCTCAGCCTTGTCCTCTAAGCATGCACAACCTCCGTCAGCGTTGTGTGATATGTCGCGTATCACCTTGTGCGTAAGGCGTTTTTCTCTTTCTTTCGGTTGCATGATTTGGATCGCTGCATTATCTTGGCAACAAGCATGTGCATTTGAGTAAGCAGTTAATCTCAACTGGTTATTAGCCGTATATAAAAACGGTTGATTATGGAGTGTTGTAATGGATACTTGAACGAAAACCGAAGGTTTGTTTTAATTTGTGACTTGATCATATTCGCAAGCATCATATGAGCGGCCTTTATCTCATAGGCTCCACAGATCCTCATCCCAGATGGCTTCTCGAAAACCAAGTTTAACAACCATTCGACCTTGTAGATATTGCGTAATTTATCGTTTATCATCATCTTCGACTCCTCGCCTTTGAATTCCCTGGAGGACAAGTAAGAGCTAAAGGAGATATATTCTGTAATTAATTATCCCAGGCATGCATGCATGATGAAGACATGGTCAGTTACATACACGAGTCATGTGTTTACATGTAGTATATATGCAACGATGGAATGGTTTATATATATCTACCCCATATGCATGCATGACCATGTGCTTGATCTTTGTGTGGGCTATATTGACGCGTATGGAATCTAAGATCTCCAAGTTTTTTGTTTAGTGATGGGCACGAGCCGAGCTGGCTCGAACAGGTCGAGCTCTCTTAGTGACGAACCCGAGCCAGCTCGAGCCCATATCCAAAACGCTCTAGCCTAGCAAAACATTAGTAATAATTCAAAAAACCCAGAGCTTAGTAATTTATATGAGAATATATCCCCCATTATTTATCCTGAATACAAACTCTATATGCCGACTTACCCTAAGGTCTACTTTTAGGTATAAACATGAGAGCTCGAGCCTTTAATTGTCTTCACAATCCGAGCCGGCTCGTGCCCATCACTATTTTTGTTATTGTCCTCATTGTCCATAAGCTAGGTTAGGGTTCCAGTCCTGTTGGTAGTGTCAGGTATAATTTTGGACAGGTTGGGGCTTCAGAAGCCGGAGTGATATATATAAGATGGCATATGAAATGACACAGAGATACAGTTACCCGGGTAGAAATCCGTCTAACCTCCGGTGTACGGCACCTCGACGTAGTTTGTGCTTGCTATGTAGTGCAGGTTTTGTTAACCACACCCTCTCTAGTGCCGGAGCAAAGAATACATGTAGGAACATCGATTCCCCAACCCCCCTGCTTCCACCCTTACAGCAGAGGATAACTAAATCGAGCCTGATCATTTCCTTCCGCTTCACCACCGTCCACACCCACCACACCACTCAGCTGGTGTGATGGCCTTTTCTTACCACAATCGTATCCAACGACCCTCTCACGAATCCTTCTGGCTTTTACAAATGCTCTTCCTAGGAGTTGCTATATTAAGAGGCCAAGCTTTACGCTGACGATAGCTCTTTAGAATCCCATTGCCCTCGAGTTGCGGTGGTTCATCGAATACTGTGGTCTTTCCTTCAAGAGAGAGCTGATTGATACCCTACAAACAAGTAGGGCTTCGCTTCCTGGCATTCCAAATAATAGGATATAACCTGCGTCAGTCGGTATATTGGAAATAAGGCTAGACCCGTCTCCGCAAAGGGATAGAATATGTTCATAGACCATCACTCGATCACGTGAGAGGGTCTGTGCTGAAACTGACAGCTGACAAATGGCAGAAAAACACGTCTATAATCTCTACGTATATATGCACCGTACCCATCTTACCTAGTCCTTCATCCCCCAAAAAAGAAAAATGGCAAAAAATACATGCTAGGTATACTACCTCCATGGCCGGACCTAAATCTACCTACCAAAGTCGTCAACTTCGCCAGCCATAAGCTTCGCATGCATCCGTCTCCGCTTCTCAATCCTCTCCTGTGCGCCGCGGCGTTCCTCTCTCAGTTGCTGATAGATCTGTCGGGAGGAACTAGATTAGCGACCCCACGCGCTGGCAGGATCCGAGCAAGAAAAAAAGGACATACCCAGAACCATGCAAGAACTTCTATAAACGCCCACGTGAAGACCAGACTGTTCTTCAGCGGGTGACTGGCCGCGGTGTTCCCACGCCCGGGCCGAAAAATATATGTGTATCCCGTGACGCAGGCAAAAAAAGTCATGCGAACTGGTGACTGCGCATCCCAGTAACCGCGCGATACCTCCTCCATTGAGGACACGGCGAATAAATCGGAGAGGCCGGAGAGGATGAACATCAGTCCGAGGACTGAACTGGCAAGTGGATTATCATAGAAAGATTCCGTGGGTTGTGACTGTAGTTGATATGTTAAAAAAAGTGGAAAGGGCGGAGAATTGGGCCATAGCTACTAACAAGGCCGACGGCTTCGCCGAGGAGGAAAATAATGGGCTGCTCGGTGAGGCGTTTGGGGGTTAGGATAAGGAGAGTACCGAGAAAGATGTGGGCAGCCGTGAGCAAGCGGATCAAGGTATAACCACTGAAAATAGCCATGGCTGAGGTCTTTGGTTGTGGTTGTTTAATTGAGCGATAAATTCGAACTCTTGAGGATGACCTGGAGCTCTCTCCTTTATTAGAAGTCCACTTCCTTGAGGACAGAGCCGCCCTTAGGCCTACAGTTACCCGGTTTTTCAGCTTATTCTGGTATTAGTCACTGCATGATGTAGTAATCGCACTAGTACCTACAGCGTACATACTAACGGTCTCTTAACCAACATCGTTGGATAGAGACCGTAGAGTACAATGTGTAAGACAGCGGAGCTGCGTTGCGTCTCTCAGATTGATAGTGAATTATGCACTCCCATTGGGTCAACGACTAACCACTTTCTTAAATATTTGAATCCAATATGCAATGCGATTTACAGTGTTGGGGAACGATCAGAACATAGGATTTATCTGATATACCCCATTTTTACAAAACCACACTACGCTCGCTTTTACATCTCGGTATTAACTCAATTTGGTAGTGGTAGCAATTTTAGAAGTATTACAGCACTCATATACTCACGTCACTATCTGGTTAGTCTCAGAGACCCCCGGAACTTCTGGAATATTGCATATATATTGATGATCGATCGACTAGATCTGGTTGTCGATATATTCCTGCGAGATACTTTACCGAGGAATATGTATTAAACATATACTCTGTCTATAATATTTCACCGGTATTTCCTTCAAATTCCTTCCTCAATGTGGAGATATCTCTCTCCCGATTTAGCAGGGATACATGTACTCGTGTTTTCACAGCGTTTGTGAACACAACCGGCATTACATACACACAAAAAATAGCCAAGACAACCTTTTTGTATGGCATGCAATAGCGGTGGTGTTCACAAACGCTATGAATAGACGAGTATGTAAGATCAATTGAGCTGTAACCTTCGAGAACACATGGGTTACCCGGCTCCACCTCTCCCATATTCTCCCCACTCTCGAATTAAGACCACGATATCCTTAACAACCCCCCAACAGATTTATCTATCTCCACGTCACAAGGAAATTGATACTTCTTATCCATTAATGCTTCGATCTATTTTCTTGTACATACATTGACTTCAAATTCCAACTAAACATATCCGCTTTCAGCAATGTCTCTCCGCCAGGACCGCAAGAACCAGCTCGTACATGATGCGCTTGATGCAGGAGCTTACAAGCAGGCATTACAGCTCTGCAACAAACGCATCAAAAAAGGCGAGAAGAATGATTATCTTTTTGTAATTCCCTCTTATCCATAAATGAAAATAGCTATTCCGCATGTACTTATGTCTCATACTGACCTCCGTCTGAGCCTAGGCCATCAAAGCCCTTATTTTAACTCTCATTAAAACCGGTCCATCCTACGAAGAGGCTCTCGCTATCGCCAAGCAACTCTCGGCAAAAACTCCTCCAATCGATTCCATCGAGGTACTGACCACAACCACTAAAGTATGGTCGATGCTAGGCTCGGAGCATGCCGGTGAGGTGGCCAAGATGTGGGAGCGTTCTGTTAAGGCACATCCCGGAGATGAGGCTCTAACACGAGAATGGCTATGGGGAACTGTACGAATTCTTGATTGGAGAGGCGCCCAAAAAGCTGCTATGGCACTCCAGAAAAATTACCCCAAAAGGAGAGAGTATTGGTTTTGGGCTGTCCTAACATGTCTGCTATTACATGTTTGTGCTCCTCCTGTTCCCGGAAACTAAACCAGCTTGAGAGAATGTACTGATACTTTCACTTCAGAACTCACTTCCGGATTCAGCAGTGGACAAAAAGTTGTTCGGTCAGCTTGCGTATAGGATGATTTCGAAGTCGCGAACGGATACACCTACCGATACTACCGTGGTACTTCCCCGAGCCATTCAAACATCGCAAGAAGTCGGACTCTACCTCGAGGTCCTCCCTTATGTAGCACCAGATTCTGCAACAGCTACAAAAGAGGCACTCGAGCTCTTGAGTTCTTCAAATCTTGGTGTTGATTCTAAGATTGGGTCTGGAGATTGGTGGGGTCTCGTTAGACGGCAATTGGATTTGCTGGAGGAGAGCGGCAATTGGATGGAAGTGTGGAAGGCCTGTGAGGACCTTCTGCATGGGGTTGAAGTAAAGGCCAAAGAATCAGCAGCAGCAAAAACAAATGGCGAGGCAGATGCAAGCGAAGTAGCGAAGAAGAATGATGGAGCTAGAATTCCTGAAGCTGAGGGTGAGACAAAGGGTCGCGGGGACGATTGGAGGGTTTGGGAAGGGTTCGTCAAGGCCGCGGGCGAGCTTTACAACCAAGAAAACAAGGATCAGGGTAACAAAGCACTTGAGGTTATTCTGCAACACAGGGAAACCGCAAAGGCGGGTACATCAAGAAATGCAGATCTTGCATTGGTAAAATTTGCGTCACTGTTTCATGATCACCATGAGGGGCCGGAAGGTACTCCCACATTGCTGGAGGCATGTAAAGAGTATTTTACACGAACTGGAACAAAGAGCTGTTGTTTCGAGGATTTGCAGAATTATCTTGAGATGCTGGAGATGAGTGAGAAGAAGGAGTTTTTGGGATTTGTGGAGAAGCATATCGAGGATATGGATGCCGACGATGAGGTACTTGAAAGGAGCTTGCAGATTTTAAGTTATCAATCACTGACAGATGGCTTCTACCAGAAATCAAAGATTTCCAAGACCGCTGCCCAGATCAACCATCACAAATTTGTCTACCTTCTCACCATTTCCCCCCTTACTATCACTGCCACCTCTACTTCCTCGGAAGAGGAGGTAATCCCCAAACTCAATGATTTCATTACATCATCCCTCAAGATTTATGTCGGTGCCCTCCCACTTGGCTCTGCACTACTTGATACAGACAACCAATATGGCGATGATGCCGCCCTTCTCTCTATTATGGGTCTCGTCCGCTTGCATCTCTTGCACTCTTCCATCACATCCTCCTCTACTTCAATCACAGCACAGGCGCCTCTCTATCAGGCTTTGATAATTCTCGAAGCTATTGTTTCCAAGAGTAAACATAATTACCAAGCCCTGCTCCTTCTCGTCCGGCTATACCTTCTACTCGGAGCAGCATCCCTCGCAGTTGAAATCTACCCCCGTCTTAATATTAAGCAGATTCAGAACGATACGCTCTCCCATTTCCTTCTCACCCGGATCAGTACAATTCTGCCTGCTGAGAAGAAGGTTGGGGCGATTCTCAATGATGCCGGGAGAATATATGAAAGTAGCTCCTCACAAACACCAAACATGCTTGTTCTCGCCTTTGAGCGCGGAGGCTATGCACAAATGATGGGTTTTATCGAGTTCAGCGAACGCGTTGCCGGCTCTGTCTGTCGCTCAATGTGGGAGATTGAGCGCCGCCGCCTTGATCGCCTGGGACCACAACAGACCAATAAGATCGATGACTTGGAGACTCTCGATACTGTACTCAAGGATGACGCTGTCGTCTGGGATAACCGTGACTTTGGTGTCCTTGTAAACTGTGAGACAGAACACCCTCCGAGTATCCCGGCCGCAGAAGAAGGCGGTGAAGCTACAAAGGTACAAAAGAAGCGTTTCGAAGAACTCTTCCGAACTAGTGCCCCACCAGGCGAGAACTGGGTCAAGGCCTTTGCGGTAGTAGAGAAATTAGTTGTCTACTGTAAAGCCGTTATAACCGTCACCCACGATCTCCCGGCCCCCGGCCCGCTCTCTCTACAACCCGAAAACTGTACTTCCATCCTAAAAAAGATCCAAGCTGATCCCGAAACCACCATCGAATTCACCGAACCCGAGCGGGACTACATCGAGTTTGCCTGCCTCCTCACAGCCATGATCCAAGCTGCCATTGCAAAAGATGGCGTTACCATAATCTCCTCCGCCGAGAAAGCACAGTCATGGCTTAGCTCCCACACCCCCAGCCCTGACAGCGTCCCCAGCGGCGAACCAGAATGGAACACACTTCACGCCATGCACCTATATATCGACGCGGCCATCCTCGTCGGAGCCTTCGTGGCCCCTACGCTGCAATCCCCGCTGCACAAGCAGCTGCATAAAACCATCAGGCCGGCCATCACGTCTCTCATTGCCGCTGCCACCGCCTTCCATAACGCTTTACTTGCAGCAGCATCAAAGATTTCCAAGGCAATCGTGGACGAGGATGGCAGCGACAAGGAGCAGGAACTAGTCGACCGCGTGCTCGAATTGGAACAAGGTAATGTTGGGCGCGCCTTGAGAGATATGTCAATTTTCGGGGGCGTAGAGAAGGTGGTGGAGGGAGTCAGGAAGATTAGAAGGGATGTTGCGCGCGCAGTTGATGGGGGAAGGAAAAAATAAGTTTGGTTTGTAGACTATAGAATATTTGTAATATTGTTTTTCTTTCCATTATTGGTAGTTATTGTTATCGGGTTCAGGGTAACATAGCTTTTTTGTTGGGTTGGTCAAAAAAAGTTTCTGATCCTTTTCGATAAAATGCTTTTTTGCTTTCTTTTCATGCGAGTTATACATTGTATACATTCGCTCAGATAAACAAAAAAAGTGATTTCTGTTTTCTCGTGCTTCGCACTAACTGTAAGCGGTTGATTGTGGGGGACCGGCATCACCAGATGTCACTCGTTGCCAACACTGCAAGATTAGACACCCTGCAATACATCCTGAACAATAATAAATTAAACCTAAACGACCCAAAAACAGTGCAAAAAAACCTCATGACTATTAAAAGGGCCACTTCAAGTGTGAAATGATATTCTCCTTCATGAGAACTGTCGAGTGATATTTCATGATGTGAGGATGATTGATTGACTGATAATTCATTCATGTATGCAGCCCGCAGGCTATGACACATGATGTGAGCTTGTTGATTTTTTTTTTTTTTTCGTCGTCAATTACGCGGCCCAAGGTCTAAGTTTCTACCGTCTTTCTACCATTGTGCGGGCCGCCCCTGGATGGCCGAGTGGGTAGGCTTCCAGGTGGCCGAGTTCTCCCAATGAGGAAATTTTCCAAGGGTAGAAGAGGTCGAAGGTTCAAATTCTGTAGGGGTGGTGACCCAGGGGATATTAATCGTGGGTTCTTTTCCTGGCTTGGCATGTGGGATGGTTTCTGCTCCTGGGGAGAGTTTTCCATGTACCCGGCGCCCAAATGGGGCATGCGGGCTGGTGATGGAGTGTGGCTAGGTATGAGTGCTGGCCTTGAGCCGGTTGGGGTATTCCATATCCTGCTGAAAGGAGCGACTAGTAGGCATAAAGGGTGAAACCCTGTACTTGTGCTGTAGATTGAGTGCTCCGCCATAACTGAAAGGTTGCATGCGAGTATGAATTAAACAAAAAAAAAACCATCGTGCGGGCCAAGATACCATGTGAATGTAGGCACAAGACGTAACGCCCAGGGAAAGCTCCCCTACCAAGTTAGCGCGGCCTCTGTGTGAAGACATAAGCCTACTCCTCTATATATTTCTTCCTTTCCCTCTCTTCACTCCCCTTCCACTTCCATCCCACAGTCTAACCCCCACATATCCCGAACAGAGTAGAGAAGAACAGACGAACGGCGAGGTTTCTTTCAAGGCTTCAAGGAATGCTAATTTCAACCAATTAGCCCTTGGAAGGAACCTCTCGACTCTTGGGTGCTGGCCGAGGGGTTGATGGACCGTTCACCTTTATTCCTCTACTTTGTCTTTCTAGCCTCGTCTTTCGAGTTGTGGTCGCTAGGGAGGAGGGTTACATCAAAGTTGGGATGAGGTTTTCAACAGCCAATGCTGGTCTGTCGAAAACACTCTTTGGTTCACAAAATTAATTAAGACTAGACCACGAGATATCGCCCTGATCGAAGGACTGCCGGAAACATTATTTAAAAAAGACTGCTATTCTTCAGCTGGCTACTAAACAGAGCAAACAAAAAATACTCTAGAATATTAATGTATTATCCACGACAATCCAAACCAACCACTACATCAACTCCAACCGCAAATTTTACATAACCTAGGAAAAGAAAAGACCATTAGCTCCGTATACATGCCACCTACGAGATCTCAATCTTTCTCCCCATCACCACCTCCCTTTTCGGCACCACAACCCTCAAAACCCCATCCTCCAAACTCGCCTTCACACTCTCCACCTCCACCTGCCCAGGAAACAAAAAGCTCCTCTGGAATTCACCAACCGACCGCTCCGCCACCCAATATTTCACCCCGGAATTCTCTTTCTCCTTCATAGACTCGTCCTTCTTCACCACCTGCTTCCCCTTACCCTCTTGCTTGTCGTTCTCTTTATTCTCCCCCGCCTCGACATCACCAGCCGGGGTCGAATGCGCCCTTCGCTCAATCCGCCCTCTGATGAGCAGCGTGTTATCGTCCGTAAACTCGATATTCACATGCGACTTATTCTCCAACCCAGGCAGCTCGCCCTCGAGCACGAATGCGGCGTCAGTCTCGTGCACGTCGAAGTTTGGTGTGAAAGCTCGGCGGTTCGTGGGTGTAGAAGCACGCTGGTTGTGGTTGGAGGAATGGCTGGTTAAGCCATCGAGGAGGCGGAAGATGTCGTTGGCGGAGGTGGGGTGGTAGTGAGAGAAGAGAGGCATTTTTTTGGTTTGTGTGTTTGGGTGCTTGTGTTTGAGGAGATAGTTTTTTGGTATTGTGTGTTCGAGAGGATTAACTGTATGGTGTTTTATAGGGATATTCGCGATAACTCGAGTAATATAGCTTCGATTTTTTTTTGAGACGCGAGAGGTTTTAAAGACACGCTCTTTTGAAGATAGGTGTTTAGGAATTCGTGTAAAGCTTCGTTGATTTCTGATCCGAGGAGAAAACAGCCTTCAGTCGAGGACACGACGGCATACTTATATAGACGCTGTGCATGACGATAATGGCGATATCTTGAATGCTCCGGATATCACTCGGGCCCCCAGAACCTTCCCGAGTGATGTGGCATGATGGTGGGATTCTAGATGGTTCCAGAACATTAAGGGTTAGGGTTTCTTAAAGGACAATTATCACCATCATGGAAGGTTGTAGAAGCATCGGCCGTTCTTTCAATTACTTTTTTGGGCATAGATCACGTATAGGCTTGCATACAAGAGTAAGAAAGAACAAGAAAACTAATGCAGAAAGAAATCACATGAAAAATAAAAAAAATGTTGCAAGAATTAGAGTACAATTTTTAACCCTCGCTCAAGATCATGAATACCTAGTTAAAACTATAACCCTTCCACCTCCGCCCGCCCCCACTCTACTTAGCGGGTGTTGTATCTATCTAGTATGCAACCCGACTCCTCATGTCCTATCGCCCAAATGGTTAGTGATGATGCTAGAAGCAGTACAGCGGAGAATGGGGTACTTACTGCGATCTTTCGCTCAACCTCCCTTATGCTCCTGTCCAATTCCTGTGCAATTACCGCCTTCTTGTCTCGGCTTAATAATGTGTATCGCTCGCAAAGATCGCCGTCCACAACACCCTTTACAGGGACGTAGTAGCTTCGGTAGATCAAGTGGTCTCTCCCGGCTAACGGCGCATCCTCCGTCCTCATGTGCTGCTCAAGCGTCTGGAAAAAGTCCACGTCCTCTCTGCTCACAAATGGGACCATGAGACCAATTGTACCCTGAAGACCCGTCCAGACTAGCGTGTCCTTTCCTCCCGCAACGAGCTGCGCTTTCTGAATGGATGTTGGGATGTCCTGTGTGTAGAAGTGGCACACCAATGCTAACCGGTTAGGAGCGCCCTGGAGATACGACCGTTCATGGATGAGATGACCGCCGGCAGGGTCCTCGTCACTCTCGTCTGATGCCTTTTGAGGGCATCGTACGATCCACAGATTCCCGAACTTATCACCACCGCAGACGGTCTCGTAGTCGATCATTGTGGTGGTGGAGGTCCAGCGCGCGACCATGTCATCGACAAAGGGGATGAGCCGGTTATCTTGGTATTTATAGACAACGTATATGACACTTTCCTGTATATCGCTGACAATGATACGGGATCCCTGGGTCTGGAGACCTGTGATCAAATTGGGCGCGACTTGCCCCTGCGCCTTGCGGAGAAGTTGCTTCATTCCCAAGTCGAAGATTTTGAGATCACGTCCGATACCTGCCAGGAGACGGCCTTGGAAGCCGAGCAGTGCAAGGGGTGGCTCGTCCACCTTGGTCTTATGAATGAACTCGAGCTCACGCCCATTGTCAATAAAGCGGTAGATATGGATGTAGCCGTTTGTTGATGACCTGGGAGAGAGCTTGGTGTCCTTACCCGTCCCAACCACAAGGAAAACCTCATCTTCTTGGCTAGCGAAGGATACAGCCGCTATGGAAAACGCTGCTTCATTCTCTTCGAGCTCGATTGTTTGAAGGGTCTCTTTTCCGAGCGGATCAACAATAGTGATGCATGATGCCCAATGACCCTCGCCCTTTGGATTCCCGAATTCGGCTGGTGAGAGCTCGGTAGACTCGCCATTTTGAGCGCCTGAAAGCAATTTTTGCTTGGTTGCTACAGATAGCGTATTGGCATCCGCACAGATGACGTAAAACAAAGGCTGGTCGGGATGCTTAAGCATTTTTCTTGGGGTATAAGGGAGCGGTATGCTTTCTTGTTGAAGATTGTCTGTGAGTTTCTCAATCGTGAAAATTCTGAGATTCTGCCCCTGGATGCCAACCATCCCCTCCGGACATTGTTCACTACTAAAGGTCCAGCCCCACTCTAACATTGGGTATGTCAGCGGTGTAAGCATGAACTGTCCTCGTCCATCATTGTATCCCAACCACGGCCGGCTACTCAAGGCCAACACTGCTGGCTGCCCTTGTGCGATCACTTTGAATATCTTCACCGGCCGAGGTCCCAAAAATCGTGTTCGGGTATCCGTCAGCTCCCCGGTCACGGTATCTAAAACTGTCCGAAGGTACACCCCGCTGTATAGACCGATATGCAGGTATAAAGTGGAACTCTTAGATGTTTCTGCGGCACTGTCGGGCATTGCCATGATGCATAGAGATGATGGCGCGGATGTCAAGGCTTGCACGGATTTTGATTCGAGTGTTGTATCAGGATCCAGGGAGAGAATTCTTACTGTCGAGTCGTCACATCCTACTGCCAAAAACGAGCTTCGAACTCGACCTTCTGGGACATCACCAAGGGAGAGACAAGTTACCGTGCCAGTCATCTCTTTCTTCTCTTCATACTCTGCGAGTTGACCGTCAGAGTCCATTTCAAAGTACACAATTTCACCACTTGATAAGGCAACTGCGACCTGTCGAGCATTCGTAGAGGCGGCTACGATTGACCTATGTTGTGGTGCAGGCCACTCATTGACTCTTCGGTCTGCCCTTATATGTCTAATACCCTTCGGGTGGACCTGGAGTAAAGCATCATCACCAAGCTGCTGGACTGCCAATGTCGGTGCCGAAGACAGGAATCCTGTGTCTGTGACTTCCTCTACCGTTTCACCAATGCTGAGGACTAAAGTACCGTTCGTAAAGGAAAGCACAATGTATGCATCAAACTCGTCTCCGTTGGTCAATTTGGTGGTCCATACAGCACTCGGAACACCTGGTAGCTCCGAGGATACAATCTCTGTAGTCTCAAGCCCGTGTTTAAGAATACGGAATGTTGAACGTGGTCCTGTTCCGCAAACGGTGTAGATTTGTGGCGCATCCTCGTCTGTTAAATTGGCAATTTTAGAGTCAACCACTGGGTTCATGCTGTCGATAGCTTCTACGAGTGACAAGTTCTCGGGCGCGCGAGGGTGGAAATATATCGGTGTGTACTCGTCCAAAGAATCAGGGGAGAAGTTCTCGCTTGAGAACTCGGCTTCCTCGTCGTCATCTCCGAGCTTCTCGAATTGATAGAAGTGGCTAGTAGGAACGTTAGCATTTGAGGGTGTAGACCAGAACTGGATTTGACTCACTGATTTCCGCCCTCCGATGCTACAAACAAGAACCCACTCTTGAGGATGAGTAAACTTGTTGCAAGCGGCACGGTATCGAAATACTTCACCTTGATCCTTGAAACGCCCACATCATCCTCGTAATCCAAGGTAACTTTTAACAGGTCTCCATCCTCCGTCTGTAACAAAAAGAAAAATGCCCCTCTCATCTTGTGCATGACTCCTGAAACGATGGACCTCTTTCTACTCGGATCTTCGCATGCTCCACGCCGTCTTGGTATTGGGACCCTGTGGGACGATCTTCCCATGTGTCGGTAGTAAATATTATCCTCCGCACAAACCAACACCCCCGACGGCCCATCGGTGCCTCCCGGGACCTGGAACAAGATATTTGCGCTCCTGTCCACAGGATCTGACCATTTCCTGACAACGTGATTGAGACCCAAATCCAGTTCATAATAAACAAGCATCTTCTCGATCTGATCATATGCCACCCCTGTTGCGTCCTGGTCGCTCTCCCCATAATCCACTTCCAGAGCGGCAAATACCGGATTTTCGTACCCGACGTCTAGAGCTACCAGTGCGAACACAAGACAATGCGGCTTGTGCGCTTCAAGTGGACTCGAGATAGTCAACTCTGCTTGCGCGTTTCGGTTAAGTACGTAGACCAGCTTGTTCTTCTCCACGGACGAGATCAAACATGCACGACCTTTCGGGTCGCACGCGAGGAATTGACCAGGGATGACGCGACGGACACCAGATTTACCGAAAGTCTCGAGATGCAGGCGGTGGAATTTGTTGGCGGCAGGTTGGTATTCGAGAATGGTGATACGGCCAGAATCCGAACCGACGATGATATAGTCTAAGAAGCCGTTGTGTTAGCGCGCCTATCCAGAGCAGTCGTGTCCATTACACGTTTTCCCTCTCTATCTTCCTCGTTGAGACGCGCTGATCTTATGTCGCTTTCAAAAATCACTAAGCTGCAGAGGTAAAAGAAGAATAAGGTAGAGCCGCAAAGAAACATACCTTTTGAGCTTCCTGCCAACCTAAATGCAGCCAAACATCGGATGATTCCAAATACGTCATGTGTGAGGACTGAGTGGACCTTTCCTTGCGTCGGATCTGGCCGTAGCAAGGACAGTCGCGAGCCCTGAGCTACAATGATCTCCTGCTGCTTCTTCCCGCTGAAGGCGCCCAATATTGCTTGGGTGATTGACGACGGCTGCAGAACCGTCAGCGAGTACAGGAACATATTCGAGTTCCCCGACATGATGGGAGGAAGGTTGGGCCACGAGGAGGCTCAGATAAACTATCTAGGTATCAGGATGATTTTGAGAAGTCGAATTGAGTGCTTTGGGGAAGAGGTTGATGACTGAGTGTTTTGTGAGAGGAGGAAAGAAGCTGTCGTTGCTACGCAAACCAAATGAAGTTACCCGGATTATATCATGAACGAATCACAGGTACGCACTCGTATTGAAGAAATACAAATATATTGCGGAATATTAATATATTTTGATACGAAGGCAGATGATAGTTCCAATATATTCAAGTCCCAGTAGCCCCGCTCAGTATAGAACTGGTTGTGCATGAATAGGTCAATAGGAGCAGATTCATACTGGGTTAGGGTTAGGGTTTATGGCTAAGGTGTTTGAGTGGGAGCGACTGGATAGTGGTTTCGTTATACATGTACTTGCCAAATTCTTCTTTGTGTCCGGCTATTTCTTCCTCATCAGGATATATTGGAGTGATACATCTTCAGACGAAGTAGCGGTCCTAAAACTTCGTGAACTGTGTCGCTATTAAGAAGGATAGGTTTTCTAGACACAATCTACAAGAAACATTCCGGCAAGTATATCTACTTGTAAGATTCACCACTCCCTCTATATATTTGTAAGTTACATCTAGGTCTTGATTCTTTAAGTAAGCTATATCTAGTTGATACTATATCGGAAGTGGATGTATTAAGCTAGTTAAGCCTAGCCATCAAGTGTAAGGCAGTCGTGGTTTCCTTAGCTACTCAGATCGTCTAAAACTTGAGAGAATTCGGGGCAAACTGGGAATATATCGAGCGTGAGTTGAACCTACATATGCTGCTAGGTCTATTTCTTATATACCGCATATGCTAGTGTAATCATACGATTGGTCCCACGGATAAATACATTCTTTATTCTTTATAATTTATTCGGGAATAATGGAAGCCTTCCCGTGGATATTTTTGAAGGTTTGTAGGCGTCCAAATGTGGTCTGTAGATCCCCCAGGGGGTGTCTACAGAGTTGTTGTGAGCCCTTTCTATGCAAGATCTGTAATTTATCTTCAAGGCTTCAAGTTTAAACACCTTCAGAATATCCACGGGAAGGCTTCCAATGTCTTGCCCCGAATGTCGGAGACGGAAGGGTTGCCTGTGAAATTGTATAAAGTTGCCTGTATGAGTTTGGTGCAATACGAGTACACATTTTTATGTACATAATATATAGTTATGCACCACCAGTCAATTGAAATTTTGAGTATATGTATTGGCTGATAATTATGCGATCTTATGAATCATGTCCTTAAGTACATTTATGTACATATAGCTATATGTAGTGTGTATATATATGCAGTCTTTAGAATAAGATATATATGATAAAGAGTCCTATTTAGTTAAAGCGCCTCCCGGACTGGAAATTTTCATTAAAGAAATAAAGAAATTTAGAAATAGAGTGTCAATAAACCAACTTTCAAGGATGGAAAAACCTAGCTATGGTGCCCCCAGTCTTAAAGGTGACATGGCGCATACGGAATTGGAACAATCGTGACTCCAAAGGCCAATCAGAAGGTCCGTTTCTAGCCATCTTGGTACCTCACTGCCGGCTGCCACGGCTCAGGTAGGTTTACTTTTTGGGGGTATAAATGGGTAATACTGTTCCACTTTGTTTACTCTTGGCGCCTTTTACATACAAAAACAGCCAATTTCAATCTCTTATAACTTTATGACCATGATAGATATCAAAAATCCGTCAGGTGATTTTGTTCTTCATCATTGCCCCTAACCTTTTTTTTGACCTTTAAGATCAGATAAGACGATGACTAAGTCATGACTAATCAACGGGCTACTGTGAGATTTGGTTCGGGCATTCCACTAAACGCCATCCGGATCCCCGCGTCATAGACTTCCGACCTCAACTTCTCTTTGAGCTTTCATTCACAAGATATACCTCCTATTCCAACTATATACACAAATACTTTCTTTATACCAACGATGTCGGAGCCCGATGAAGCAAAAGAACTTCGTCTATGTAACAACGTAGAGCTCAAGATTGCGCTCGCTGAAAGTGATGATAAGCTCCAGCGTCTTCTCAACCTTTACCTCGCCCCTCTATTGTTGAAGCTAGCCAGCCCGCATGTCAACGTCAGGAATAAAGTCTGCGATCTTTTACTTATGAGCTCCTGTGAATCAGCATCTAACACAAAAAAAAACTAGGTGATTTCAATCTGCCAGCATGTTAATACTCGTATTAAATCGCCCACATTCCTCCTTCCTGTCGCCGCACTATTGGGGCAATTCAAGGATCCGGAAATTGGCGGGAAGTATCCTCTGATTCGGAACTTTGATTTGATGTATGTCCAGACAGGAATAGAGCGTCTTCCAGTGGCTGAACGGCTAGCATTACTACCTCCTTTGCTGAAAGACATTTCGAAGCATGATAACCATGTCCACCAACGTGCCCTATTCAATATCCTTTTAAAGATATTGCCGTTCTTTGAACCACCTCCTAGAGGGACCAATGAAGACACCGCTTTAAGAGTGACACTTGGATTCGCAGAAAACCCCGAAGACGCAGCATGGGTGGCGGGCTGGATCTCAAAACTGATGCTGCTTAACCTATCTGTCTTTTCTACACCCCAAGCCCAGCAGTCAGGAACCCAAAGATCGTCCTGTCCGGGTTTATCCCCAGATGATTTTGAATTTCTCACTCTAGGTGGCAAGAGGGAGACCTTTACCCCGTTTTCAGTGCTTGCGGATATAAAAAAGTCCGTGCTTAAATTTTTGGCGTCAGGTGCATTTATAGGTGGAGAAAGATTCTTCCCCACTCTTATCGGTGCTTCCGATAGTAATTCAGCTGTTTCGGGGCCTGCCGAAGACATCTACAAAAGGTCACTCCCAGCCGTTTCTCTAGATGATCAAGACGTTGTGGCAAAGCTTTACACTCTCTATTTCGGGTCACCAACGACTGGCATGCCCGCAGTCAAGGTTGTTCTTCAAGCGCGGATAGTTGCTTTGCTGGCAAAAAGTTCAACTGCGGTAGAAATCAAATGGAAGAAGGAAATTATACGCATTGTTGAAAGTGCGCTAGAAACCGATTATCTCAGGTTGCGACAGGCTGCCTTTGGTTTTGTCAACTGGGCCTCCCGTATAGGCGGAGAAGAAGTCATGGTTGCTGTTGCGGGGGAGGTAGTAGAGAAGGTGCGGTACTGGATTTTAAGCACTGATTCTGAAGATAATGGCATTGGCAATAATAATGGAACCGTGGATGAGATAAGGGGGTACGCTTATGAATCGCTCGGACTTCTCGCCAAGCGTTCACCCAGAATCGTGATCGAGCCAGAGTGGAAAATTTTGAAATTTCTTTTTGGAAGATTGAGAGACGAACACGTTGGGAGTGTAGGAGTATCAGTTGAGGGGGCGCTATCGACGCTTCTGCCAGTTATTGCAAGGGCAAATATGGACAGAGATACTGAATATGGTCTGGAAGAACTTATTGTGGATCAAATGATCGCAAAGAAAGGCCGTAGCACGCGGTTCTCTGCGGTTAGGTATGCCAATAGAACCTTGGAATTTGGGAATGTTGTAGGGAGGTGGGCCAATCTGTTGGCCATTGGGAGAAAAGGGGAAAGAGGGGAGGTAGTTGAAGAGGCCAAGAAAGGTATGTAATTTTGGTAAACCTGCACCTGGAATACTGAATTAAGGTGTCTTTACAGGACTTCATCCATACTATTACCGCCTTCTCAATCCAGAGGAGAAGCACCCTGCATACAAACCCCAAACTTCAGATGAAATGGAAGTTGATGTCGACAATCAGAGGGCGTCCAACAAAAAAGACAAATTTGCATTTCCATCTTTTTCCACTATCCTTGAGTACTTTTTCAACACCCAGCATAATGCTATCACTTGGGGGCTAGATGATCTCCTAGTCGCAAAATCTATGCCAGTAGAAGTCTTTTCCACCGCCCTGGCATTTGTTCGTAGAGTAGCGTTCATGGAGGCGCTCGATGGCGAAGAAATACTTGTCGATGAAGATTGGGAACGCAAACTTGATACTGCCGTAGAGAGGGATGATAAGGTCCGTGAAAAACTACAAGTGTATTTCCGCCGCCTGTCTAAGGAGAAACCGGACACACTCGAGCAATTCATGCGCGTTGCATGGGAAGGGATGGTATACGGAGGTACCGGTGTTGAAGGTGTCAGAGATGTTTGGGTGGAACTTGTAGGCGTTGTTCCAAATTTCATGTTGGAAGAGTTTTCTAGCAAAGTTGGAGTGTTACGGAGGTGTGCCTTCACTGGAACGAAGCCCGAAGGTCGTGCAACCGCTGCGCGTGCTTTGGGACTTCTGGGGAGCCACCCTACAGTTGACCAGTCAGTATTAAAAGTACTGCTCTCCGAAATGGCGGATGGTGCAGAGAGCTGGGAGAAGGCCGGTGGGCAGGGGCTTAACCGTGTCCATGGTGGCATCCTGGTACTGGGGTATCTTCTTGCGCGGCTAAGCTTGCGTGGAAGGCTAGACGTCCTGGACCCCGAGACAACCACGCGTTGTATCGATGTAATAATCGCTGTACTACTAGAAGCCAGAGACCAGATGGTACTTGATGCGGCGATAACCGCATTTTCGGAAATCTGTATTTTTGGGGTTTTGAGTGGTAATAGGCTTGAAAAGTCAAAATCCGACAAGATCCTAGAGCGATTAGGGGAGTTGGGGAAAAAAGGGAAAGAGAAGGCTATCCTTACGTTGGGATACTTTTCTATCATCTTTCATGATATAGAAGTGGCCGAAAGTTCAGTTGGAGAAGGGAAAGGCGATAATACGGTTAAAAATATATTGGAAACGCTGTTCAGTCTACACGAAAATCGACAAATTGAGGTAAACTTTGCGACTGGCGAGGCAGTGGCGAGTGTAGCGGGTGGATGGGGGAGTAAAGGTGTTAAGGCGAAGGTTGATCTCGATGGCTTTCAGGATTCAATAGTACGTGGGAAGGACACGACCAGGTTGAAAACGGTTGTGGCAAGGGTTTTGGGTTTCGTCAAAGAGACCAAGCCCGCCTTGAGAAAGGTGAGTTGTTATTCCATCTGACTTAAGGAAACATATGTAGCGTTGCTAATATTGGTTATACAGGCAACCTGCGTCTGGATGCTTAGCTTACTGGAATTTCTTGGTGAATCCGCAGAGGTGCAGTCCAAGCTTGGCGAGATGCAGAGAGCATTCAGGGGGTTTCTTGTGGACAGAGATGGTAGCTTATTTACCCTAACCCTAATCGCGAGTGATATATTGTGATTCTAATTTCGATCGTTCTAGACTTGGTACAAGAAACGGCCGCCAGAGGGTTAACAATGGTTTATGAGCGCGGCGACAGTTCGACAAAAGATGAACTTGTTAAAAATCTCATTTCAAGTTTTACTGGTGAGAAGCGTACATTGACTGGGAATGTCTCTGCGGATACAGAGTTATTTGAACCGGGTGCGCTTCCCACTGGGGATGGAAGCATTAGCACATATAAAGATGTTTGTGGATTCTCAAGTCTTTCCCTTCTATATAGATTTGAGTTAGGACTGACGGTCACATTGGTGAACAGATCATGTCCCTCGCCTCTGAAGTCGGTGATCCTAGTCTTGTTTATAAATTTATGTCACTCGCGCGACACAACTCCCTCTGGTCCTCTCGTGCGGCATTCGGCCGTTTTGGGCTTGGTTCAATTTTGTCCTCATCCGATGTTCTTAAACACAACCCAAAGCTATACCCAAAGCTATACAGATACCGATTTGACCCAAATCCTAACGTTGCGAAGAGTATGGAAGATATTTGGAAGAGCCTGGTGGGGAGTGACGAGAGAGAGGTATTGGAGGTATGGTTTGAGACAATAATCGAGGATCTACTTGATCAAGCCTTAGGGAGAGAGTGGAGAACAAGGGAGAGTTGCTGCAATGCCATCGGGGAGCTAGTTCAAGGTAGAGGTGTTGAAAAATATGCCAAATATCTGGAGCGGATCTGGGCAGTTGCATTCAAAGTCCTCGACGATGTGAAGGAATCGGTTCGGACCGCTGCGATGAAGCTTTGTCGTGTTTTGACAGCGGCAATGATCAAAATTGTTGATGTCAATGCGGGCTCTTCGCCAAAAGATGCTGAAACAGTCTTGAAGAGTTTAATGCCGTTTTTAATGGGTTCTTCCGGACTAGAGGCAGAAGCGAAGGAAGTGCAGATATTTGCCTTGCGTGAGCCACAGACCCCCTTGAAATTTACACTAAATATTTCTTTATGTAGTGAATGCATAAGTCCATTCTCGCTGCACATGAATTATAACCTCTAAAAGACATACAGTGGCGAAGGCTCAACTAACTGGGATGGATACAGGCACTCTCCTACAGCTCGTAAAAACAGGCGGGAAAGCGGTATTACCCTATGTTCCGAGCTTAGTTGACAAATTTGTTGCGCTTCTTAGTTCGCTAGAGCCTGAAGTCGTCAATTACCTTCACTTGAATGCGGAAAAATATAACACCACTGGCGACGACATCGATCGTATGCGCTTGAGTAATGTCCGCGGTTCGCCAATGATGGATGCCATTGAGCGTTGTTTAGATTTATTAGACGGCGAGACTATGAAAACATTCATCCCACAGCTCCAGAAGACTGTTCGGAAGGCGTTGGGGTTACCATCAAAGGTAGGACAAACATTTATGGTTCATCTGATTTTTTTTCCTTACCACGTGCCTCCTTTCCCTGTGGTGTCTTGTACCACGAGCCGTGTTTTCAATCTAGAAACACGGGCCAGGGATTGAGAATCAGGGGCGTTTGTGACATTCCCGCACCTCCCACCACAACTTCGTATATATCACGTGACATGCAACATCGGTGAAACGATCAATCACGGGTCCTATATCGATCTAAAAGTAGACTCAAAGACCTGAGACTGACGCTATAATCGTTTGTCTAGGTTGGCTGCAGTCGCATCATCGTAACCCTGGTTGTTCGTCATGGGTTTATATCTAAACCATATGCGGACGATTTATTGAAAACTATTCAATCCTCACTACAAGACCGGAATGAAACAGTCATGGTAAGCTATGCTAGTGCCGCTGGCTATCTTTGTAGAATCGCTAGCGATGAGAAGATTTTGGGTCTTGTGTCATATGCGAGAAAATTATATTTTGAAGGTGAAGATGAAAAGCCTCGGGCTCTGGCAGGGGAAATTGTGTACGCAATCTGTAAACAGTAAGTCCCTCTGTGAGCTAGGAATTTTCATATAGTCGCTTACTTATCTAGTGCTACCGACCGATTCAATGCGTTGGCCGTCGATGTGCTTCCTTTCATTTTTGTTGGCAAGCATGATCCAGAGAAGTCGGTCAACGAGGTGTTTGGAAAAGCATGGTCTGAGAATACCGGAGGAACAGGTGCCATTAAGCTTTACCTGGCAGAGATTATTGATATGACAAAGACACATCTCACCTCCCAGCGCTGGGCCATCAAACAGACCGCGGCTTTGAGTTTGGCAGACGCTTGCAAATCTATCGGAAATGACTTGTCAGCGGAACAGCTACACCTATTATGGCCGGTGCTCCTTTCAGCAACAAGTGGCAAAAGTTGGGACGGGAAAGAAGCTGTGCTGGAAGCCCTCGTCTTATTAGCTATTAATGGGAAAGCCCATTTCGGCAAAAATGAAGAGAAGCTGATGGAGCTTAGAAAGGTAACCTACACTAATTTTGTAGTATTGTGTTTGTTGCTAATTATCATCTTTCAAGATTGTCTTGAGAGAGGCTAAACGTAATAATCCTATTTATCGAAGCTCCGCCCTGAAGAGTCTTGGAAGTTTGGCAGACGGTTTTGATCAGCTCGACTTATTTGAAGAAGCTCATGATATTGTTAACTCTTCTGTCTCAAAAGACAATGAAGATGATATGGATATCGATGCACCTGATGGCCGATCCATCAAGGTAATGTAGGTATTAGTCGTGATCTAAAGTGTACCTCGACGCTAACGGACCTTCCAGACAACAAGTGACTATTATCAATGGACTTTTGGCGTTATCTTATGCTTTTCAGCCGAAGCATAATAAATCAGGTGAATTACACCCCTCTTTACATAAGGTTAAGTAATTTCACACGTGTTTAAATATTAACCCTGTACCAGCGGCGAAAACGGAGAGTGAGGTCATCCAGATCCTAGACCTTGTGGACGAGTGTACTGCTGGTGCCAATTATGAGGTGAAGACATGTGGAGCAGAATGCATCGAACACATAATCGGGAAGTTATCGTCGGTGACCCTCACTCTTGACGACAAAATCTGGGATACCCTGCTCGGGAGGATTTGGCCCAGGATCCAAGAGAATTCTACGGATCGAGGACACGAAAGTGTGAGACTCAAGTCTGCAAGTGCCATTGTGGATTTACTCAACCTCAAGGGGCATGGAAGTATCTGGGGTAAGATTCGGGAAGATCTTCGGGAGATCTTAGCGGAAGAACGGTCATCGGTAGTCCTGCAAATTATGGAGCCAGCGGTTACACGTTTCCTCCTTCAGTAACCGAGTTTTGAGAATATCAGACGCCAATTCAGGGAGGGGTCAAAATGGGAGCGGCCGCGAAGAGCTGTGATTACACCCAACAAAAAGAAATGATTTTACTCTGTATTCTACAACGTGCCTTAAAAATACTTATCCTAGTGCCACTGGTTAATTGGTCCTTGAAGGAATTTGCAGAGATTGACCAATCACCAAGTTTAATATTAGCGTTTTTGACAACCACTTTTTTTTCTCCGACGCTCAAGACCGCCCCTCCCTTGGGTTTGGAACGTGCCTGCCAAGATGGGCGTGAACAGGAAGAATTAGGCTAGATTCTGGAATCCCGCTGGTGTTAGTGGATGGCGTATGGTTTAAGTCTGCATGACCATCGCATGGGGAGCACCCTTGAACCCTTGTATCCTCGATCGATCCAGTGCACGGTATCTTTGTTTGTTGCCTACGGTTACCCCACGAAAACGCATGTGTAACCAGCCAGCTTTTATTCCTCAAGATCATCCGCGGTCACACTAGGATTCTGGCTTGTCTGTGCAGCTTGCCTGACCGCAAGGTAAGAGAGCTCACATTTCCTGTCTCGCATGTACACGCACTAGCTATTACTGCGGCGATTTCCACCGGGGGCGCGCCCGTCCACAAGTTTAAGGAGCGAGTGTATTGTAGGATACCAGTTACTGGGCTAGGCTATCTTTGTTTTTTTTTATTGTTACTTCTTTCCGAATGCTCTCTTGAATTGTGTCTTGTATCTTTGATGTAGATGGGGACGCAGGCGCAGTCTTGTGGATAAGAGGTTCAAGATATCCCCTGATTATAGTAAGTACGGTGCTGATAAATTAGTTAAGGGGACGCACTTCCGTCTTTTCACCTCTACTTCACATTGACTTTGACACATTTGTCTCTTGTTACAATTGTTCAACACAAATAACTCGATCACTTTGATAAAGTAGTTGCCCTCTTCCATCTTAAAGCGCAGTTTTGAATTTGACGTTTGACTTGGCCTATTCTTTCTTTCCTTTCTTTTCTTTCTTTCTTATCTAGCACGGGATATCTTCGGGGGGTTTGCTGGTTATTTCATTATCATTACTATTACTTGCAGGGGAGCTTTTACCTTTTTTTTTTCTTTTCTTTCTTTCTTTTCTATCTGGGAAGTGGGACTTTTCTTCACTGGAATAATTCGGTCATCAATTTCCTTGAAAATCTTCAACTTTTGTGACGCAAATATCTTATCCTTCGTCTATATTCATCCCTCTATCGCCCTTGAGAACTGCTACAACTGCTGGCCTATTAATCCAGTTTGTCTTCCAAAATACCAAGAAAAAGTAAAGAAAAAAGAAAAAAAGAAGGAGATTAAGAGAGAGTGAGAGCATGTCATTCCCTGATAATACTGGAGACTACTTTAATGTGTGAGTTTCCCCGATTTAAATATTAACCTAGGAGGTGGTACCTTGCTCTAGTAGAGGGCCTAGAGGGGTGGGGGGGTGGGAATAATACACTGACATTTGGATGAAGTCCTTTCCACAACTCTTATCAAGTCGAAGAAGCCGAGGATTTCCTTGGAGCAAATCGACACTCTTTATCTTCCGCCTCGTCCCCCTCCTTTTCGTCTCCATCCGCCTCTCCCCCAATAAATCCTAGTTTTCGGAGACAGGTGTCAGGGAGTCGTCCTGTAGCTCCCCCGATCGCTATCGCACCCAAAAAGAGCCTGCCGGTCTTTCAACCTTTCAATGCCCTTTCAATGGACACATATGCGGTTTTGCCAAAACCCAAACTACCCCCAAGGTCTAGAAATGGGTGCTGGTAAGTTTCATCATGCCCTCCACCTGCCCACACTGGAGCATATGCGGGGAAGGAAATGCTAAACCCATTACTTAGGACATGCCGAGTACTTCACCATCATACTATACTCTAATGTTAATTGATTGGAGAAGCTAATCAACTTTATAGTCTCGAAAGGTGAAATGCGACGAAATGCATCCAAAATGTGGAGTAAGTACACCCACAAATAGGAGGAGTACCATCGCGATTCTTCCACGCGTGCTTCGATGGGTACTAATTCAAGTTTCGTTTGATAGCAATGCGATCGACTGCAACACGATTGTGATTACACCCGCCGGTTGTCATTTAGAGATGACACAAATCGAGTCAAGCAGAGAAATGTCGAAGTCAGCATAGTCGGCAGTGTTGTATGGGATTGTATGTGGCTTTCCAAATTCCCTAAAATCAGTGAGATCGATCTAGTCCGTGCTCTAACCATCGCCATAGCACAGGTTTCTTTCTCCAATCCAACTCCACAGGAGCTGGCCGATGCGAAGCTGCTTCCTCCCTTTTCACACCTGTCGAATGATGAAGAACGAGAACTTAAAGCGATCCTCAACAAACCAGGAACATATCATGTCATCCTAGGGCCCAAAAGTTTTGAAAATTGCCAGGACTCAGAAACAGAAGGCGAAAATGACAGCTCGCCTTGCACAACACCTGGAATCAAATCAGAGAATAGGATAGAGGACGAAATCACGTGGGATCTTCCGAATTTTGGCAAGAGAGTCTGGCCAAATAATACTAGCTACACGGACAATGAAAGCGTCATAACGGATGATTCGGAGACGGTGTTCATTCGAAATTTCGAAGACCTAAGTTCCCCAACGAACTCCAAAACCTCGTTTCACAAACAGGAAAAACGATCCTTCTCACCGGAAGCATCAGACAACTCACGACACAGCTCTCTTGTGGGCGAGTCATCATTTCACCATTCACACGCCACTGAAAATGAGGATGCGATATATGCGGCGCACTACAAACGATATATCTCATTGCATTTTATGATAATACAAGAAGGATTTGCTGGAACATGGGACGATACTCAGCTGTTGCTAGATACACCAGATATATTTGAGCGGCAAAGCAAGAATTACCCACGGGTAAGTGGTTTAGGGCACCAAGTTCAGTCCCAAAGTTTTTGCTGATCTCTTAGCTACATGAGGCAATGATGGCGCTGGCGGCACAGAATTATGGCCGAGAAAACGGGATTTCGAATGTCAAGGCTCTAGAACGTGCACAACGCGCACTTCCGGTATGTGAAGATATGCATGTCGATATAGATGCGTTGTTCTCCACACATTTTTTCCTTCTTGTCTACGAGGTAATTCAACCCAGATACATGAGATCTTAAGGATTCTCTAACCCTTTAATTCCAAGATCACGGCGGCAGAACTGGGGGGCGATTGTCTGTGGCAAAGTCATCTTGATCAGATGGTTCGAATCCTTTTGTCCAGGTCCGACTCGAATACAGACGACCGACAACCATTTATCACCTGGTCCTTAGTAGTGATCGACACACACGCCTCTTTGAGCGCGAATGGGAACGGGGCACTGGCTGAAATATTGGAGAAAAACAATCTCATTCCAGACGCGCACTTTTTAATACCGCCTACTCTCACAAGAAAAAAAGGTGGCGTCTCGGAAATAGAAAAAAATGCGTTTGTAACAGCTATGAGGGCCAACCAAAAGATCATCCTTCTCGGAGCAAGTATGGCCAGACTTTCCCGGGGCTTCCGGAATGAGGCTTCCGGTCAGATTTTAAGTCCGGGACAATGTGATTATCGACAAAGAAAAATTGAGGAAATACATGGGGAAATGAAGAGTTTACTATGGAGAGAAATTGCTGCAACTGTAGGATCGTTTAAGAAGCAAAACTCTTACGAGCAGTGCAGCCTTATTCTACAAAGTCTTTACGAAGAGGTGAGAACCTTATACCATTCCTTTACTCTATTTAAATATGATATAGTTAAGTACTGACAAAAGGGTGACTGGTAGGCTCAAGCCTTTGTCCACGCATGCATACTTTACGGTTATACAAGCATGTATCCGTCACAGCTCACCATCCTCACTTCGTTTCAAAAGAATGAAATCGACCAGGCAATTTCTGCAATAATAAGCCAAACCATGACCAAGACTAATATTTGCCAAGAAAGACCATTTCAACTTAAATATTTGGCTTTCCCCTTATTCCTCGTAGGAATCCTCTCACCATCTTTAAGTCATAAAAAGCTTGCTGTAGGATTTTTGTCACTTCTAGAACAAGAATGCCTAGGCCATAATATCAAGAGGCTAAGGAATATTCTACATGAGATATGTGAAGAACAATGTGGGCGGGAGGCATGGTCATTTGCTATGACGTCTCCTTGGGAAAATGATAGTCTGAAGTGCATACGTCAAATAAGTTGGGAGGAGGTTTTGCAGAAGGGATGTGGTAGACTCGTGAATTTTGCTTTTTAAAACTGGTGAATAAGACCAAATATATGGAAATGGGGGTAGCGATTTCCTGAAAGTTATTTTACATATGGGTGAGCTGAAGAGTTTTCTAGATTCTCGTTTTTAACGGCGCAAACGGGGGGCGCGGGTCGGAGACTATGTTTATTGGTTTTGTAGGTTTCTATTATTTACTTTTTTGTTAATCAAACAGAGATTTTATGTATTAGGTGAAGTACATATCAGCGGTATCTCCTTGTTCCGCTCCTGACTGGGATAGACACCCACACATACACACATACACACATACACACATACACACATACACACATACACACATACACACACGCACACTCACACACACACCTTACGTGGCGGAAATCTTCCAGCGGATAGATGTTTTTGATATGTGCCCGAGACAACACCAGTAATTACTCGGTAAAACGGAAAAGGGTCTCAGGAAGCCCTTGGTACGCATAGGGAGAGGTATCTTTTGTACTCAAAATAAAACCATTGCCCAATCCAATAGGATAGGGGGTGCCTGACCGATCGAGTTGGGAAAAATGGCCTAGGATTTTCCCACTGTGCCTGGCACTACCTTTTGGTTTCTGAATGCTCCCGAAACTCGAAAATCATCAGTAATGAACATGGGTTCATCTGAAGATCGAGCGTACACCTGCACCTAACCGGTATGCATTATCAGCTTTACGGCCTTGTGTAACAGACGATGTGCATGCTTGACCCCGATCTATTGTCGGCCCGCTGGTGGTGGTATGTACCTAACAAATGATGCCTAAGCGGAATTAACGAAAATCAAATTGATGGTGTGTAATAGAAATTATGCAATAGATTCCACAACCGGTACGTCCGCAGAGCCTCGGCCATATTTGGCGGCAACCTTAAGAACGCCATAGGTATTGTTTAGGAAGAGTCATGACGGGGAGAATTGATGATAGGCCTTTGTGTATATGTAGCTTTGCATCGTCATGACCATCTAAGACAAAGTAAAATGACTTGTCTCCAGATTCCCAGACGTGGATCAGACCACAAATCCTATTGGTATTTGACTTCTTGGAAACTTTTAAAACAGGATTACTTAAGTACCAAGCTTGAAGCCTAGGGTGCAATCCTGGAGCGGGCTGTCCACAAGTTAATCAACTTTGTATCCCATAATTGTACAAGTGGTTATTACATACGTCTTATAAGACCCTTCTTGGCAAATATTCTTCCCATGGTTAATGTAACTCTTTCCTTGTTCACAGATCGAGATTTACAGGGTTTGGCAGCTTTGTGCGGGGTAGTTAGAAATTAGGAATAACGTGTTTTCATAGGTCACTTGGGTTTATGTACCTCTTAATTAAGTTACCTGTTACCACCGAAGAACAGTTAGGTGTGATCGGGTTTTAAGTGTCCACCAGCGATCTAAAGCAGTCTGAAATCTTATCTTGATCTATTTATAGTGAGATTCACGGTCAGTAAGGTAAAAAAATACCCAATAAATTTATACTCTGGCCATGGAAACTGACCGAATAGGTTCTCAACTGGAATCAACTGGATGTAGGGCCGTAGACGTGTATCCTGGTGCTAGCACGTAAAAAAGGTTAGTGGTCTCTTTATTGGTAGGCAAAAAGGCATTTGCCCAATTATTTGTGGGTGGGAAATACTTATTCAAAGAGCCAGGGTCTGTTAAAGATTGCTTGAGACACTCTCAGAGGTGTCCTCCAGTAGGTACATAGAGTAGGTATGTATGCGTAGATACATTATTTCTTTTCTTTTTGCTGTCACCTTACCCGCTTCCCCACGCTAAATGGAAGCGAAGAGCTGACTGACGTGATTCATCGATTCACCTAGATAACTATTCTACCATACAATAAATTTCACGCATATATCTTGTTGCCAAGTATGATAATATCGTTGGTTGAGCATTCTGCTTCGCCCGATTGCTTCGCCCGACGCCCGACGTCGCGCCGAACAGAAAAATTCCGTTCGCACGGACACTTAATTTGATCTAGATTCCAGAGAGTGGCGATTAGTTCTTGCAATATAGGAACGGGTCAAGCAGTGTGGTCTCAAATCTTGTCTCACGCTCAATATCACGCTGTGTGAGGCACAGGTAACGCCACTCCCAGCCACTGACTACAGTCGTCTCTGGGTCAACGACGAAACCAGTTCGATGGCGAATAGGCCAGTCGGGGCCAATAAAAGCCGGTAAAAGCGCCCCGACCCCTTTGCTTTGACTGACTATCAGCCCAAAAAAGTAGCCACTCGTCATCGAGCCGGGTCCGTCGTTGACCCAGAAACGACTGTATGTACTACTAGTTCTGTACTTCTACACCGATAGCAATGAGAGGCACCCACCCATAAGAGAAAAGTATAAGGAGCAACTCCGCGGCGAGTTCACGGCTGTTTCCTGTCGAAAAGCATGGCGAAGTTGGCGTGATGGCTCGGAGATTTGGACACAGACCCTGCTGTTGGGATGGATCACGACGGCTAGAACCGTTGCATGATGAGTTTTCGGGTCCGTTCGGCTAAGGAAAAGAAATATGGTCCTTCTTCAGTCCTTCTTGGAGGTAAATACATATATCCATACATACTTCATTTGCTAAGTACAGGTACAGCTATAGTTGATCTTTGACTTACTATTACATATATGTACATGTCGTCAGCGCTCTATATATATATAAGATACATATATTCAAGTAGATACATGTAAGACCCTAGAGACTATAATAGGCGTTGCTAATCCAGAATTAGCTGCTTATACTTGATTGCTTTCTATGTACGTACCACTCGAACGACGGCAAGAACGTTTTCATGATCGATCTTCCCTCGGTGAATCGTATCTGATTAGTTAGGGCAAGTTCATATACGCCGGCTCTCCTTGAAAGAAGATGCAGATTGGTGGTGATGTCTTATATCGATCGAACTACCCTGTGGATATGGTGCCCAAGCTCACAAAATGTATATGTTTAAGGTTACGCAACATTTGCTAAAATGTGCTCGCTAATGTGCCACCGGTGGTTAATTTCCGAGAAACGCAGTCGGAAGGGGGCTGAGTCACCAGATATCACTCACGGGAGAACCTAATGTTTGATATCGACTCGATAGTTAGCACAGAAGGCTCGATTTATCATCTCACTACACCCTCATCCATAATATCTCAGGGCTAGAGTGGTGTCTATAGATGTCCCAATATGGGCCCATCTGTACTGGGTAGGGAAAGAACGTTCATGCGAGTTAGATTTATTAGAACCTATAAGTGTGTCTCATGATATTTTAGACTGAGAGATCTGGTCCGCGATCATGGCACTCGCTTAGCTTGAGGACACAGATCGGGGGAGACCCTTCTGTGTGGAAAGACGCCGTTGTCTCACCTGCTGCTGCTGCGGCTAACTGAGGAATAGTAAACAATTATAGGTTCGAGTGAGTAGCTAGGCTCTAACTACCTGGGCTGCGGGTGTACTTACGTACCCCCATAGCTATAATATAAAGAGGGCCAATAGTGGTACATTATCCTTGCTGGTAACAGAACTCTCCCCACAGGCCCCACCTAGCTAAGGATGGGGTGATCTAATTGAACAACATTATGGCCATCGTCATCACAACAATTTGGTTAGTTAGACAGACAGTATGTATATGGAGCACGAGACCCGCTTCGCTCGGGCTTGCATATATGATAATAACTATGTACTGGGTCGGAGGGCTGTTGTATGTTTGTGGCTGAGACTGGTTGTGTAGTGTTCATATTATCATTGTAATATGTCTGCTGGCCATCCCATCTTCTGGTAAAGGCATTATTTCCTTTTTGCCATTGCAGTAAAGTGTGGACAAGTTAAATGTAGCTTAGTAGGTGGTTAGCTCAGTTGAATTTCAGTTATGCAGGATATCAAAGACGTTGGCCGGCCCAATATCTTGTTGTCGAACAGGTAGAGTAGTTGGTAACTAGCTCCCGCCCGCAGTTGGGCTTCCTCTGGTTGCCGGTAAGATCAAGAAGCTTGGTATGCACACCCGGAACACCGTAGCCCTTGCTTATGTATATGTAGTGTTCATGCATGGCCCCGCCCAGACCCGTGTGTGGCGGGTGGTCGGGAGGTCGAAATGCGGTTGTTGTCTTGCAATGAGCGTGCACTTCCCTGGTTTCAAGATATTTCAATCAAGGGTTCATGCATGCATTGGCTCAAAGCTAGATATGAGGGCCTCAGCAATATTGAAGATACATGATCTCCAAATCTACCGGTAGTCTGACAGAAGAGGGGCGGCGGGTCAGTGTCACCACCACCACCACCACTAGCTACCACAAGTTCCAGAGTCCCGATTATCTGAATATTGAACCCACTATTTTATGGTTAAAAACGTGCCTGCGCAAGGGTTTATCTTCTACTACCTGCGGCGATGTGGCTACCAGTCTCTGATGTGATAAAAACGGTTAAGGCCTGGTGCTTACGATAGTGATTCAGGCGACAAAGGGGAGACCTGATTAAAATTTCAACACATCGCGCTGTGCATAAACAAATTTTAAGGTAACTACTTGATGCAATCGAAATCCCGAGTTAACGATTGGCCAAATTCATCTCAAATACAATCTAAGAGCTTAGGATCCACTAGCTTTTGCAACCATTAACATGTCTACAGCTTACCCTCAAAAGAACCAGAAAATGCAAGTAACGGAAACAGGGATTCTTTGTATGAGAGAACGACGCCACTCCATACAAATTATCCTTGCCCTGAGCAACTGCATTTTCTGGTTCTTAGGCTGGTAAGCGTGTATACGTATGCATGTATGGGCATATATTCATTTCATATGACATCACAAAACAGAAAGAAGGGGTACTAAACCTAACAAATTATTCTCTTCATGATATCTGGAAACAATAACCGCAGTTTCATGCGACAGCGACAGACGTCAGAATAGTGGAATGTGGCTTACGCCGAGCCATTGCTGAAGAACAAACTGAAGAAAGAGGAGCTATAGTTTCTAGTTTATTAATTCAAGCGCTCATTTACGAGCGCCCAAACTCAATAGATGTGTTATATCTGATCGGTGCCCACGCCTCCACTGATGCTTATCCAATGGATCAATGTATTTATGCATGCAATCAAGCATAGGAACCTAGTATATAATGCATGTTTTAAGGTACTTTCCTTTAGGACCTATCACCTAGGTTGAAGAAAACAGGAAAGCTCGAGTGTAGTATCCTACACGGGTCAAGAGTTTTCTGTCGATGCGCCAATGTGCAGTCATAGCGTTGGCTAAGCGGGAAAGGCGTAAAA